ACCCGAGATGAAAAGGAGCTCCACTTTGATTGCCATTGATTCACTGTCAGGATATCCGTCCTTTTGAGTTGAAGAACAAAAGCGGTAGCCAGAAGAAAACGTAGAACTCAGCGGCGGAAAAGTCGCTTGTTGGATCACTAATACAGTGAATATTGCACCAGTTTGCGAGGGACGTGACTGGCTATATACGCCCAATATATACAAATTCATTATTAACCCTCGGCGCGCATGCGCAGCGAGGGTTACAGTAGTCGTTCCGTTTTGTCTGTCCGTCTGTCTGTCCGTCTGTCCGTCCGCGGGAGTTCTAGCACTACAGGCTACGAGGCGGCCAATGAGTGGCACCAACGGGTTGTGAACGACGAGAAGATTGATATTAATGTGGCGATTCCCGAAACGACTGCGTTCCAGAGATATGGCGTGAAAACAAGCGAAAAAGCCAACGCGCGGTCGATCGCGCACGCGCCCTCTCCTGCAGGCTATATAGCTATATAGCGCGCACGCGTAATGTCAATTAATCGCCGGAGCATGCGCTTGGTTGTATATGGCCTCCTGTCAGTTTTGATCTCTGTTCCCTATGGATAAAACGATAAACATGCTGAGCAAGCAATAGTTATAAAACGTCTGGCGAGAGCATTGAAACACAGAAGAGCGGATAGATTGAATAGAGCAAATATAAGAGCCTCTGAAACACCTGAGCTATTGCTCTAACCGCTAATGCAACTACCCTGTGTTACGGTGAAACTCGTGTTACTGGCTCTGTCGATGACGCACGGCCCAGCATACAGCGATGCTAGCTCTAATTGCTGTGGCTGCAGCCTATCCGTGGGACCCTATAGCGGACGCAGATGAAGGGGCGAAGCCTATCTTGCTCTCATGTGCTTGATGTAATAATACACAACTTAGGTAAAGGCGCCCCTCTGTCTCTTTGTTTTGACTACAGCTAATGTCGGTCCCTGCTTCTGCGTGGAGGATGAGACGTCGGGAGCTAAGATGTGTATACCAGACAATTGTGATGCTTCCCGCGGAACTAACCCGTGACCGCTCAGCAGCAAATGCTAAAGAAACATTCAGACTCAAATGTAGCTAGTTTAGTATTGGGTAGAATCGCACATTTTCTCAGTGATCGTTTGTCGTTCAGCGTTCGCGCTTGCATGTTTCGCCACGAGCGGACACAACATTTCCGCGTGCTTTTAGCGCGAGGATTAGCGCTAAGTTTGAAGGTTTCTCGATACATTTTTAGCTAGAATACTTATAGGCATTTATTTTTCTCTCTCACACACAAGGCAGAGCGATAGCCTCTGAACCCAGCCCCACGCGGTTCGTTTTTGTACGCGCACGCGCATATTATGCGCTTACGCTCATTGGGCGGTTGCGCGTGCGCAGTCTGAGATACGGAGAGGGTAAGTCAAAATTTGGCTGAAATCAGGGCTGGAAACAACAGAGAAAAAGCGTAATCAACCATCAAATGATCCGCAGCCCCCCGCAGGAAAGGCACGCCATCTCCCTGGTTTCCCAGCTCGTCTGTTGGTGCATCACTACTCGCACCGGCCCCTGGGGTACTTGTAGTCGTTTCTTCTCCCGCTGTTGTTGTTACTGCAGGCGGAAAAGAGCTCGCTGGTTGAGAGGTTTCTGTTTTGGCGGGAGTTTCGCGACTTGTCTCCGTATTTGGTGGTTGTGTTGTAGAACTAGGAATGTCTTCGGTAACTGATTCCTCGTCATCTCCTGACGGCAATTCCTCCACGTCCACCGGCGGTAGCGTAGGCAATGTTACAACAGGGCCGTCTCCGAACGCGGGGGCGCACATTCCGGGCTCGACGATTCCACACGCTGCCCACATGTCGCGTGCGGAGTCCGCGCTCTCGTTGAGCGACACCAAACTGTACAAGCAGCAGCCGTACTCATCGAAACTTTCCTGGAGTTTACGGCGACACTCGTCCGAGCACGCCATGTCTCCGCATTCGGCAAAAATCTCATCTTCTTCCACACCCTCTCCGCTCAGTAGACTGTAACACGTGTCGCCGCTCTCGTTCTCAGTGCAAAGTACATCAAATAGCTCCAGCTCGGTAGGTCCCGAATCCAGGCACTCCAGTATTGAGTACAAGGATCGTCCACAACTCTCGCATATGATAATTGACTCTTCTTCGAACTCGTATTGCGCCGTGGCCTCGAAGAGATAGTTCTGGCAGCTGTCGCTCAGCTCAGAGAAAAGTTCGCTGACCCTCGCGTCGCTGCATGTTGCTTCGTCGTCCATCGGAATCGATCGCTTTTCCGACGCAGAGAGGAAGCGCTCGCCGCCCAATTTGAGCCTCTCCATAAACTGCGTAGGCTTTAGGGCAGATGCGAAAGCCAAGGTAAAGAATACTAATAGAAGTGTAACACTGAACATAGTAGATAGCCAGGAGTTGTTTGAACAAGGCAGACAAGGTATAAGCTTAGCTAGTCTACCACAGAACTGCTTGTTATAGCTAGCTATAGCTCCTCTTTTATAGCTGACACTTTCGGGGAGGTTTGAACGATGTAAACAGAAACACAATTTAGTGTGACAGATATAGAGAGATAACCCAACAGTGACTCTTAATGACCGTTTTACCGGTCTTCTGTGGATGACACACTGACTATTATGGTGGACATGGCATCTTAACACAACCGCATTATTGGTTTAGAGCTTCACAGCAACAAGCCCAGGGCATAATACTATTATAAATACTGGCTAGCAAATTCCGCATAGCTATACCCTATTTGAAACCTTCTTGCCGATTTTATGCACTTTAACGTAGTAAAAATTTCCTAGGCCGAGATTAGAAGTTGAGTCCTATATAATTATAGTGGACATCGCTCTTGATTTGCTATAATAACAGATTGGCATAAATCAGTACTGGAATAGCTAGAGAAATGACGTAGTTTATTCTGAAAACTGCCGATCCCTTCGACACACCCAGTGTGCTTCCTTCAGTCGACGTTGCGCAGAAGCAGTTGTTGGACGAGGAGATGTGGTGTAACTAGTCGTTTCTTCCATCTCCTCTGTGCACGCACACTCTGTGGGGTTAAAAATTAATTGTTGGCGGATACAAACTATTAATGGTGCTCACCTTCATCTACTGGGCAGACTGGAATGGAGCTTTTCTGAAAGCAGTACCCAGAGCCGAAGTGTTCTACAAATTGAATTTTTGTGCACAAGATGTACAGATGAAAGTGTGTTCTTTATTTCCTTTATTCATTCAGAGTGTATCATCAGAGGTACTACTCTATATTATACTACTCAATGTTCCCCCCTCTAGATCCCACCATACATTGCAAACAGCTGTTTAAATGCCTGGCTATAATTATAATTATAATGGCTTGATCATAATTATACTTTTGCACAGTGTCATGTTCCAGGGTAAGGATAGTGTGCTCCAGAGATGCACAGTGCACTGGACAGGAACAGAGCCCGAACATTCCGGCAATTGAACATCTTGCTGCAAACACAGAGAGTCCTCCGAATCTGTGAAACATTAGGGTCATGTTTAATTAACCCACTCCTGGTATTTTGCGTCATTTTAACTCTCGGCGCGCATGCGCAGTGAGGGTTACAGTGTCGTCCGTCTGTCCAGTCCACGCGCAAGAAATCGGCCAAAGAGCGATAGTAACGGCGCGCCATAGTTCAGTGCTACACCGGCTTGATTTTAAAAAAGGCGCTTTTCATAAAAATACTGCGTTCAAAAGTTATGACGTGAGAACAAGCCAATATGCAAATTGCACAGGCTTACCTCAGCCGGGTCCGCTTGTTCTGAAGGCACAAGAAGTCACAACGAAGGGCGTGTATAGACTCCCGCATGCTATCTACTACTGTAGCTAGCCCGTGTCAGACTCTCAGCGAGCTATAGCGGGAGACCACGACTAAACGCGTGCTAAAAGCCCAGCCCCCCATCAATTAATGGTAACGTGCATGCGCAGTTCGCATTTTGATCAGCACCTGATGAAGATCTGGTAATCTTAGTGAAAAAATAGGGTCTTCCACATGTTGCTATAATAAGTGAGGTTCCTAGAAGCATAGACAATGCCATGCACTACCACACCTCCTAATCTTGGAAACCTTGCCACATCTAAGCCCTCGCCGCACAAAGATATATAATATTCGTTGATGTCATCTCGCTATACCACGAACAGTGCGTAGCTAACTGGCTTGATATATATATATAATTATATATATAGGTCCTAACTCCAATCCCGACCTCCTGGACCATGTGAAGGAGTGGGATCTGTGTCTGGGAACGAGGCTAGCTAGACCGCAGTCCAATAGCTCTACCTGCATGAAGTGCACTAAGTTTCGGGGTTATTATATATAATTATAATCTCCTATTGTATGCGAGTCTTGTTGAAATTACAATGGTCACTTACCATCCACACAAGTGAAGAAGGTAATATCATCTCCATTCAGACTTATACTGTGAGTAGTAGCTGGACTACATCCTTTCCCTGAAGCCGACCAGCCTCCTTCTCCCCCTTCTCCTCCTTTATAATCCTCTTCATCATCCACTGGAGCACGTGTCGTATTGTATGCAGCAACAGCCACTGCCACTGTCAGGTATAGCGAAACAATTGCTACAATCGCTCTAACCATCATGATAATAGCCAATAAAACTGACCTACGAACTGGAAGAAAGATCATTATAATTATAGCTATATATATTATAATTATGTGATGAGACCCTATACTCTATACAGCAGGAAATTCTTCTTACCCACACTCTACTACATATCCGGAAGATAGCACTATGTCATAGGTTGGAGAGGATGTGGTGTCAGCGTATGATGCCTGGTAAAGCTGCACAGTGAGTAATCTCGCGGGACAGCGAGACTGGTCCTTTTATATCTAAGTTACTCTCGACGTCACGAACTATAATCAAGTGGCACTGCTACTATGTTTTAAGCAACATAACGAACCAACTGATACTATAGCTCGTTTTCAAACTTAATTTTTACCTGTAGTTCTAGCAGCTAGAGAAAATCGTTGGCGTGCGTGGGTGTTCCTTACTACAGGGGAAGACGTTCTACTCCATAGTCGGAAGTGACGTGACGCAGGGTTGCTCGTAAACAGAAGTCCCGTTACCAGCCAGTCGATCCCCGGCGTTGTAGTGTTTTTAACAACATTTGCCGTTTAGTACGCGTCTCTGCGGACAAAAAGCACCGTGCGCAGCTCCGCGGGGCCGCGCGTGCACGACGCATGCGCACTGCATATCGGAAGCTGAGCATGCGCACAACTAAACCGTGCAGTATAACTCGGCGCTGTCGGCGCGCCACATCGGGAGAGAAACTTTACGAGCAGAGACATCATGGGTTCCTACGTTGCCCTTTGTGCGTTCATACTGGTGAGTTATGCTATGTATACTAATTTTATCAGCCAGTTTACCAGTTATTTTGCTTGTGTAGCTAAACTGGCAATTCGATTTGTTGGTCACAAAATATTTTAGCACTGTTGTAGTCAACATCAAAGAAAATGGTGCTCAGATTACGGAGTGCATGAGCCAAGTACCCAGCAAAACAGAGAGCTCTCCAAAACGCCATGATTTCATGATGTTATAGATTGTTCATTGTTCAACCCACAACACCAATGCTGGGCACATACTGTATGCCTCTCATTAGCGGCTTTTCTTCATAATTAAGCTAGAATCCCGTGCCTGAATCAGATATACCTGTAGCCCACACTGAGAGTCTGAAACAGTGTGGCTACAGTGGAACCTCCGAGATAGGGACAACCTCTCTATATACAAGGGACACTTGTTTCTACCCCGTCCTAATACTTCAGTGTATTATTTGACCTCTGAGATAGGAATGACCTCTCTACAAGGGACAAAAAATCGTTGGCCTCATAGAGTCCCTTGTTCAGAGGTCCCACTGTATTATGCTGTAGTGCATATGGGATGGTTCCTGTGAACCAGCAAGTATGGAGTGTTCCCACTCACTCTGTCGACAACAGAAACCTGTGCTCAGCAGGGCACCTGTTACCAAACATGGTTGAATGTCCTTTCTCCTCCTTTACTCTGATGATGTGGCACTAACACCCAAAACAACACCCACACAAGTTTGGGTGTAGGTGTAAGACACCTCTTAGCCCAATTGTAATAATGTTCACTCTTCAGTCAGTTGGATCATGACCAACTGGGCAGGATAGTAAAGGTTAAAGTGCCAGATCCTATGTTAGGGCCTGTTTATAGCCAGTTGATCTGAACACCATAATTTGGTTGTTAGCTAGATTGCAGGGGGCTGACACTTTTCAAAGTCTAGATAGAGCTTCAGGCATATTGTCCGCCACAGGAAAGTCCTCTCTAGTTTGAATATCAAAGTGTGTCCTTTAATGAGAGGTTTTTTCTACTGTTTCCTTTATTCGGAGTGTTCTTATTAGGAGATTCTTCTACTGAGCAACAAACTCTGTAGATCTATGAGGGGTTATGAGAAATAACAAATTATGACCAAATGCATCTGTAGATTTGCTATGGTTTCGCTGGGGTTCTTGCCGACTACACAGCGACAGTGGAACTGAGACAATACGAGAACCCCACGCACATGCGGGCACAGAGCAACGACTGTTGTGACGGAACCTGCGAAGATCCCTGCGACAACCGCTTCAGGTTCTGCTACAATGACTCTCCTGACATTGTCCGGATGGCTGGGGTCCTGGAGGGCAGACCAGAGGAAGCAGTGGTTGGGTGTCAGTTTGCGACGGACCTGGTTGCCCCGGACAACGACAACATATCTTTTCCGTCTTCGGGGAACTTTGGAAATACTGTCAGAAATCCACTACGGTTCAAGGCCGACATTTGGCCGGTGAGACTGCAGAGTTTCTTGTATCTAATGACATCAACTAGCTATAATTATTATTATTATAATGTCATGTGCATGCTGCAATAATTAGCTACCTGTCTCTGACTTCAGCAATGTTTTGCATGATGTAATGGGAAACTGCACAAAAGGAACACTAAACTCCATCTTGTACTAATGGGACAAAAATGACTTGTTGGTGAAGTTTTAGACCTATTCTAAGTTTCATCTATCAAAAATTCTTCCCCGTTCACTCGTTAAAGTGTGATTTGATCCTGTTCGTTCAATAATAATTAATCCACATTACCTCAGGGTCAAGCCTATCTTCTGGTCATAGTATTTGACGTGGACAGCAACAGTCTGGATGATACAGTTGATGTCATAGTGGTCCACATTCTTCCGTCCTCGTTGAGGCGGTGGTCTCACGTGGAGACATTTTCCGGGACGTTTGGTTTCGGATCGCTCTCAGCCAGATATAGAGTGGACTGTGACAAACACTTCTTTGGAGAAGGTAAATTAAGGGCAGCATAAAATACACAATGCAACATTGTTGCAGAAAGTCACATTCAATTTCAATGAGTGGACATTGCATGTATAATGGGCAAAACTGCTATATTATTATTTTTATGCAACCTGTTCATCGCATTGAACAAGGTTCTATAGCATGTGTGTTGGCCTACTGCAATAATATAGCAACCATGTGCAGACGGATATGGCCAGTCCAATGTACCACATTATATGATCTCCCCCTGACCCTCTAGCTGCACACTATATTATATAGCTTTATATTGCCCACCCAGTGCCCCTCGATGCTACCAGCCATGGACACATTAATGTGTCCAGAGCCTCCATAAGAATTTGTATGGGGGTTATAATACTAGGCGCTAATACACTATACATCAATTTCTGCTTATTTAAGCAGATCCCCATGGCATCCAAAGGGTTAAGATGATCATCTTGGCTGCCATGTACATAATCTCTCCCCCTCTTTACCGTCCCATCCCCAGACTGCAGTGTTTTATGTGTTGATACCGACAGTGCTGACGGCCACTATGAGTGTGACAGATACGGCAACCAAGAGTGTCTCCCTGGATATCAGAACGCCTCCACAAACTGCACACAGTGTTCCCCTGCCATTGGATGCTGTGAGGGTTGAATGTACAGTAGAGGAATCCCTCTCTAACCTCTCAAATGAGAATACTGTTAGAATAAAAGGTTTTCCTAAGAAACAGTAAAATTAAATCCCGGAAATCCACCTCCCTAGTATGGGACGCTAGAAACATCGCTTACACACTGTGCGCATGTGCAGCCTTTGACTGGCGGTTACACTTTGTTGTGTGTGCATGTGCAGAATGTTAGTCCAGTCTTTCTTTCCCAGTGGGCTTTTGTCCCACTTCAGTCTTGATTAGAAGGGTTCCAATGTATACAAACATTATCTCAATATCTCCATTCGGCTGCATACACTCAGTGTTTGCATCATACACACTGTACTATTCACAGCATTCAATGGGGTACCATAGAGAGTACTTGGCAAAGCTTCTAGGATAGCCCCATGTCTCCATTTCAATTGCTCAATCCCCTTCTTAGTCTCGTTTCTCACAGCCTTTCCAGTTGGGGACACCACAACAACTATATACCAAGCAGACCTTTAAGCATAGTAAACTCTCCACCCATGAAAATTATAAGGCCATCGTCCCATGAAACTTCCCATCATAGTGCCCTTAAATAGACCTAGTGCCGTAAATGCAGGTCCCACAAGTTCCGTTCCCACTCTAGAATTATAGCAGTGTTACCTACTAGCTTTTGGTGTGTGGGGGTTTCAGCTAGAGTGTGACATTGTCTTTTACAGCTCCAATGGGAGGATACTGTACACTACCGGGGAGCTGCATCTGTCTGCCTGGATTCACTGGAGAGAACTGCACAGAGGGTACGTGATATCTGAGTGTCATTTCTTTATAATTTTGGCAACTTGTCCATTATGTGGGTAGCTACTGTGATCATGGAAGTGACTGAGAAATAATAAATGAACTTTTCCTCTAGAGTAGGGTGCATGATAAGAACATGCATGTTGTGAAAATAAGAAAGTTTTATCAGTGCTAATATCTTTAGGTGGCAGGGCTCTCCTTCCCCTAAGAGTTCCTCTCCTATACATAATTATATATACGTATCTCGCCCTCGACCCACAGCTATTACATTTCGTAGGGCAGCGTATACAGTTTGGCATTGCTATATATAGCAGCCTACCTGCACATAAAATAATAAGAGACGACCCATGTTATTGGCATTGACAAGTTTCTTTCAATATAATTGTGCACTCTTAGAGCATGCCTGTCATAATCAAACGTTGGTACATATTAAGCTCTCACTCCATCCTGTAGACGGCAGTCTCGAGCAGTGCCCAACACTCACAGATGACCCAGAGTCCACTGCCAGTCAATCCTCATTCCCAGTGTACGTCCTGGGTGTTCTGGTGGGTGTCCTAGTGGTGGCTGTTATCTCTGTCTCAGTTGTCCTCGTCATTCTCATCATCCTTCTGAGGAAGAGAGGTCCGCATTTCATTCTAGAAATAGCAAACTTTAAAGTGTGAATGTGCATTACAAATAGAAACTTGATCACACTCTTGCGCCGGGCCTTATTGCCCTAATCAAAGATACCCTCCTACCATTTCGAATAAAACAGAGAAAACACAGAAAAGGCCCTCTCCTTTCTTTTATTAATGAATCTACACACTACCAAACAGAAATTCCTTTCTAGGTGAACATGGAAGTCGTAAATTATACTCACCTGTTAAAATCGAAATATGAAACAAAATCATTTAAAAGCACCTGCGATTGGTACTTTCTCAACGATTCTATTTTTTTAACAGTTACTGTGATCAATCTGTACACAGGTAAGCAGTGTGGTAACGATGTACAATCATCCAGGGGCTACTACATGAACGAGGGGCTGGGCCCCACCCAATCCTCAATGAACCTCGTGGGATCTCACGACATCGACACTGAGAGTGAGAGGTCTTCTCGGCAGTACGCTACAGTCGACTCGAACCAGCGACTGGCGGACCTGATGGCCAACATGCAAGAGAGTGGAGCCGACCGCACCAGTAGCACCTACTCTTCTTCGGTTTCGCAGTCTGCTGTTGAAAACGATGTCCCAAGCGCCTCGCTGAGACCAAACGTGGCGTACGGGATCGAGCAGCAGAAAATTCAGCAGAATGGAGGTGGATACGTTAACGGGAGGAGGACACCGATGAGACCGCCCCCTCGCCCCCCTCGTTAACGACATCATTGACTACACTCGTTGCAGTCTATATAATTATTACACTACAACTGTACTTTCAACTGTTATAACAATTAAAATGTATGCAGGCATACATATATATTTATTTGTTGTAGGCAGAACTCACAGTGCATGTTATCTTTACTTGTAAGTAGCTACTATAATTATATATGCCTGTATCGCTCATTTGTGTATTGCATAATGTACTTATCATTGAGCGTTGTGTTGCAGTAACCAGCGTCAGCCTTTTTGTAATGACGAAGGATTATGATGCAAGTCTCCGCATATTTTGTTGCACCAATGAATGTGTCAATAACCGTGTGTATTAAAAATATACTTGGGTATAGAGCCACTTTCATGTTTACGTCCTTCTCTCCATACGTAGGCACACAGGGAAAGCTTTGTTTGAAAACAATGGCCCCCGACTGCTTGCCACTTTTGTGTCCCGCCTTGTGCAATGTTCCAGACGGTGACGGGGGGAAATACACATCAACGAGGGATGAGGAAATTGTGGTGCAACTGCAGTAGTTTCGGTGTCCCAATTCTCTAGCAATGAAACATGCAATTAAAAATAATCAGGTGCTTTTCTATGCTTTTCTATGTTGCTGTAGGCAGCAAAATCTCAATGCAGGAAATTAAGCAATACAGCCATTGACCCAACTGGGCAGAGGCAGAACTCAAAAAGAAGAACTAAAGGCTGAACAAAAATGAGGGCGCATAAAGTTTCTAACGTACAGATGGATCAATCAAGAGTACTCAGTGCACATAACTTTTATATTACATAGCATCAGAGGATGACATGTCATTGAGGGTGTATTTGTATTTGAGTGATGTTCCAACCTAGGTGAATGACCAAGAATCATAAAACGAATCTTGTAAAAATTTGGGAGCCTCGACATGAAACACACACAACTGTAAGAAAAACTCAGCAATCGCGGCTGAACCAGAATTTTGTACAGAATATTATGTGGGAACTCAGGATTACTTTGTCATTGACGCGTACATTTCAAATTTGAGTGATGTTTCAACTGTCATCTGCCTGCACTCTCCTACATGCGATGCATGGCGTCCAATTTGGCAACGGGTTGCGTATGCGCATGCGTATAATCTGAGGGCAAAGGTCAAACCGAGTAATGGACGGTGACGTTCATAAAAAAGCCAGGGTGTACAGCTTCCCTCTCACTTGTCGCATCTTGAAAAGAAGCTCTTTCGAGTTGCATCTCTACTAGTCGACAGACTAGTCCACCACAATCAGTCGGCGTACTCGCGGAGAGGAGGAAGCACGATGCAGTTTATCTACGGTAACGGACGGAGCCAGCGGTTTGCAGGTGACGGCGTCTCTCTTGCTGTCCGGTGGCTTCTGGTCCTGTCCTGCGTTACGTGTGCAGTCATCGACTCCAACGAAGCAACAGACGGTGAGTAAACTGCACCGTTTCCTTCTCTTTCTCATCTCTCTTGCTGTGATTGGCGACGGCCAATGCGGTTTCTATGCAGAATTCCGCATTAGCAACCGCGGCTGACTGAGTGGCGCTATATACTGCAAATGTCAGCATTCGGTAAACAGCTAGCTAGGCTCGCTATAGGCCTGTTTTGACAGAAGAGACTGTGGTATTTTGGCGTATATAGAACTATAGCAGCTCATGTTACACGTCTCCAATCACCCGAGAGAAAGGTGGCAGTCAAAGCCAAATTCAGTTGCCTCACACTTGCTGTAATATTTCTGAGTTCACAAGAAAATTCAGTGACTAGATCAAGGATTTTGTAGTCATTTGCAGTGTGCTGTAGCTACAGTACAGTTTGCATCGATTTTCTATTTAGGCTCTTGTTTGTAAGGCTGGCTGTAGGCTATTGAGAGAGAGAATAGCACTTCTTCTCACTTGTATTGCTACAGCTGGTCTCTGTGGGCTTACAGGGGGTTGCTAATGGTCCCCCCTGGCTGTGTCGGGAGAGCATGGAAGTTTACACTGTTTGTGTACTGGCAATTGTGTAGTTGTTGTTGACAGCTAGTATATGTACACTGCGGTTGATACGTACTGCCTCTGTAAGAGCGTGGGAAGATGACAAATAGGAGAACATGCATATTATGCAGTGTGTGTTAATGTACATATGCATACGCTGGGATATGGTGTGTAGCTGCGTGAAGTAGAGACATGCGCGCCTATTAATCAGCTTGGTTTAGCTATTTTGCAGCAGTACTGCCTTCACGGAGGAATTTGTGCAGGGTGTGTGTGCGCGTAAAGTTCACACATGACGGCTGCAATAGATTTTATGCAAACGTTGGTGTTGTTCGTAGACCCTGTCTTGGGCTAGGTTCACATATGTCTCATTGCCCCGTCGCGCCGTGCCGCGAGGATAGACTCCATTTCTATCTTCGCGGCAGGATGCGACGCTGCAACAGCACAACGGGGCAATGCGACATAATTTTTGTGAACCAGCTTAAGTGTGTTTACTCCAACTCCTTTGCTGTGCTAGCTGGGCTGGCAGAGACCGACATTTGTGTGTAGACAAAAGAGTATATTACTGTACCTCTATGACTCCTCTACTGAGAGTATATGTGTAGCTGCCTGCTGTGTTGTATCCACACTCTTTCTCCTCTGCCAGAAAAGGTGTGTATAAGTGCAGCATATACGGTGCATATACAGAAGTATTGATAGAGGATAGTTGGCTTACACTGGCTTACACGGGCGTGTTGAGGAAAGAGAAAAAACAACTTTTGTTGGGAGTCGAACTCAGGCATATTGTACTGGGACACTTACTGTATGTAGCACTGAGCTACAGCTCTCAGACAAAAGCTTGTCTCCATTTTCATTATACTGTCAGGGATCAGAGAAGTGGAATTAATCACCGCCTAAAGATCGATGCCCGGCCACCACGACGTTTCTTTTCTAACCTAAAAACAAGCTTTTCAGCGAATGTGTGAATTGTATGGGTGACTGTCTGTTAGAAAAATTCCCATCACTCATTGTACAGATAACTGGAAATTTGAAAGTTGTACATATTTACATATTACACCCATTTTCAAGAGAAGTATTATGATTGAGAGAGAGGGGGGCATTATGTACATGCAAACTGTGCATCTTTAGAGTTCGTATTTCAGAGAAACACGGCATTTAGCTGTATAAAACTAAGCCTGAAAAGTAGTAAATGGGAGTGAGCTCAGCGTTTGCTATAGTGAGGTTGCAGTTGGGTGGCTACTCAGATTTGCTAGGTCTGGGAGACAGGATGTGTGTGGAATATTGATTGGGTCGGTGGTGTACCACCCAGTGAGCATTGTTGTGTGAAGCTCATTGCTCTGAGCTCAAACGTATCTAGTCATTATCAGTGACTCCAGGCTTACCAGTAGTTATATACCCTTTCCCTACCCTCTTTGCCTTCCTCCACCTTTACTCCAACCTCCCTTCCTCCCTCCCTCTCTCTCCCTCTCTCCCTCTCCTCATCTGCTGTCACCTCTTCTTCCTTCCCCCACCCCCCTTTCCCAGCCTTTCACCTTTGTTTTCTTCCCTTCCTCTCTTCCTCCAGCGAATGATATACGAAAACCTTTGAAAAACTAATAATGTAGCAAACCTAGGCACATACAAATAATTTTGTGCATTTTTTCGTGTGCCGTGCTCTACAACTACCCGATTCTGTTTGCAAAACTTGTACTTCTTAACAGTAGTTTCGAAAGTACTGTGCGTATTGTAATATTATCGTCTGTTTCTCTCTCTCTCCCTTTTTTCAGCCATGCCGTATCTAGTGTACACAAGTGGATCGACAATATTCAGAGTCAGCACGGATGGTAGTTCGACTGAAGTGGTTCTACAGAGTCCGGGATCTGTGAACAAGCTGGGCATCGACTTTGACTATCGGTGAGCCTTTCTCAAAAGCTTTATGCGATGCTCGATTGCAAAATTGTAATAACAACTGTTGTATGTAATGCAGTGAGAGGAATTTAATGTGTATTTAATAGAATTACGGCGGAAAATTTGTAGAGAGAACTTCGTGGATTACATGGCCAGATCTTTAAAAAAAAGTTCCATACTTACAAATTGTGTGGCGATCACAAATTGCAAATGGATTTAAATTTTCTGCTTGAATTTGCTTTACAGTAGCTGTCGATATTAACACTGTATACACGTAAAAGCAGCATGTACCACAGAAGCCAGTCTACTCAAAGGTAGGAAGTAAGCATTAGAGAAGTGGCGAGTGAGTGTGTCATTGACGCCAACTCAACATTGCTACCGTTCTTTCCATGTACATCTGCACCACAAGGGCCTCTGGTTTGCACACGTACGATACATTTTTGGTGAGTGAATGCAAGCAGTTGTCTTAACTGCTCTTCGTGGTGCTATATAGCACGCTTCAATTGTGACACAATTGCAATTAGTTACATAATGGCAATCAGTGACATAATAAACTCAGGCTGGCTCCACTCACCAGTTGTGTAAGGATCACACATTGCCTGCTGTGACTCACTTGTACTTAAGCACTGCAATTCTCTTAACACTGCATCAAACAATCTGGAGTTTCTGAAATAATGAAATATGGATAAGTTTTTCGAAGAAAAATGTCGTGCAAAAGATCTAGAAGCCGACGTAAATAATTCCTCCTCAATAACGTGCTATGTATCTTTGATACGGTCTTGGGGTAAAAAAATTCAATTCTCTCAAGATTTCCTGGTAGACGTTACATCAAGGGCCCTTTTGTTTTGGTTGTGGTCTATGAAATCATGATGGTGCACCTACGTAGGTAGTAGAGTAGTCTTGGGTGTGACACGATGTCTTGTAAACAGTTAGCACTACACCGGCTTCTGTTTTCCAGGCACGGACGGACGTGTTTTTGTTTACTAGCACACATCTCGCAGCTTCTCTCTCCATCGTACACTTGCAGCGTCCCTCCTGTTGCATCGGACTCTTTAGAGGTCCTCTGACATGGGCGACCCACGTGAGAATTTCTACAGCATGCGCTGGATTTTGAGTGCGGTACTTACTGCGAGTGGAGTTATAGCGATGGTAGGCCAGTCGGACATTGCAGGATAGAGTTAGGTTGGAAAGCTTGCCTCTCATATACAGCTCTGTCTCTTGGAAGGTAAATGTGAAACATTTCCGGCCACGAACACAAACACGAGGGGAGTTGAAAGATATTTTCGACCGACCAGATTCGATCGTGGAACGGTTGCTCGATTTTTAAGCTAATTGCTTCCGCATGAGCTACCCACATCTTAAACGGTGATGTAACTTCAGCTATTGGCAGCTTCTCGCATGTCCATTTATGATTAGTGTTGTGTTTACCGTGACACATGTAGGAGGGAATGGACCAATCCGATTAGGCATAGTTGCGGTTGCATTTTGCCAAATAAGAAACCCGAAGTTGTGTATCATTTCCCCTATTTGTCTAGCGCGAAGCCAATCCTTTGCCGAGGAATTTCCATGAGGTAACAGTTTATTGGCTTACGTGTGGTAGTGTTGATCAGAACTTGTTGGTAAACAGTGGCTTTTGGTGTTTTACTCCATACATCCTCTATGATTGTCACGTTTTTCTATGTACAAGTGCATGTAGATATGTTCACTGCCAATTAATTTTATGTAGTCTTACACCATATAGCGTAACACTTGAGAAAGAAAGCAGCTGCAAAATATAAGAATTTTTGCAGAAGTGTACAAAACTTCCCATCCACACTATTCCATATCGATCATGAATTTGTGAATGTTTTTTATCCAAATTACCACCTTGCCTTCTGCCTTGATGACTTGTCGGGTGTAATTACAATTATTTGATTGTGTAATTGTCACGGCGGTTTTGTGTCCATTTGAACTCGTGTCTTCTTGTAAAATGTTGCATGTAGAGTGTGTGCTGTCACATGTTGGTTATGTAGCTCTCCCTACAATGGAATGCCTCTTATTACCTACTGCACTGGGTGTATATAAAATATATATCTTAAAATAGTCCAAAGACTGGTTATATAAAACCTTTAATGTTACATCTCCGTCATTTTACCATCCGATGAAAAGCAATGATCAATCCGGTTGATTTTGTAGACTCAACTAATCATCATGGTGCTGTTGTCTGTGTAGGTATATTTGGGTAATTGAACGTGTAAAATTCAGTCCATTTGTTCCATAAACCTCTCTATCTTCATGAATATGGTAATAGAACATGCCTAATCATGCATCATTACCATGTCACATGTGTAGTATTAACCAGCTTTTTATGGGTATGATTAACTGTACAATATATCTTGTGATTTCCCTGTTATTTCAAGCTCTTTGACCGTTTTGTGCATGTTTGTGGATGTAATGCGGAAGCACCTACAGGCATTGCTGATTGTGTCCCACCTTTTATCAAATTGTTAGCCTAATAAGTCTATATACACTGTTTTATTAGGAAAGGCCTTTGTTCACTATATACTCAGAGGAAAGCAGCAAAGTAAGGTAGATGGGTTGCATTTGCTTTTTTCTGGGACCACCATTCTACTGAGTTTTAGTAGCGCGGATTCAGGAGTAGCTGCACGAAGTCGCCTGTGTGTTTGATAGGTAATGATTGATGAACTTGGTGTACATATGAACCTGAAACTGTCTGGGTGGCTAGCTGGTTTAGTTGTAGGTGTTACATATACAGTATAGCTGGTTTAGTTAGGTGGCTAGCTCTAGCTGTGCTCCTGGTCTGAGGCCATGCAGATAGGTCACAGCCACAGTGCCCTGCCTTAGCATGTCGAGTGAAAGTTCAGCACATGCTGTGTGCGGGTAATTATAACTGTGTGGTCTGCTGTGGGATCTGCTGATCTGTTGTGCAGTTTTTGACTGGGAGTGGTATATGTATACCAGTAGCTGGTTCAGATTATTAGTGTAACTCATGTGAGTGTAATAGTTCATGGGTGTGGGAACTATAAATCTTGCTACAAATTTGTAAAATTAAGCTGATCAGAGATCTATTATGTATTACAGCGTCTCAAGATATTTCGCTAACTCCTAGAGATTTCTATTTTTTTGCATTAAGCAAAGAAAACATTTTAACCTATTTTTGATGTGTATTATTAGTTGTATTATGTATGTTTATATATGTGGCAGTGATTCAGCAGACTGTAGTATGTAGGGCCTCGTCTGTACGACGTATGTACATCTTTACTATAGATTGGATATTGAAGATATGATATGACGTCTTTAGGACCAAGTTTCTTGTAATAAAAACTACACCTCCCTTTGGCTCCAGTTTCAATAAACCCAGACTCATTACCAGTATAATATTATACCAGACTGATTAGCCAAACCTTTGTTTAGTATATACAAGTGAATCTGCTAGTGTTTGTTGCTCTTCAACTAGGAGCCTTGCTTCTGCACTTGTAATAAGGCCATAAAAGTGGTGTATACCAAAAAGTACTTGGTATAATTATAGTAGTCTACTCTACAGCTGTACTATATACATGTATATGTATAATGGTGTAGTGTAGTGTAGTGTAGTGTTCGGTCAGGGTGGGACACCTTTGGAATGAGCCCACACATGTGCCCCTAATGAGCCCTAGCTATCTGAGGGGGCCAAGCCCTTCCAACCTTCCTTTAGTGTCAGTTCAGCATGTCTCCCTGCCCACCTTGCAACAACCACAAGTGCCTTGAATCCTGCAAAGCAGTCAGATAGCGGTGGTACAGTGGAACTCCTCTAATCAGGACACCAATGTGCCGAAACAAAGTGCCAATTTTAGTGAGGTGTCCTTATTTCAGGGGTTAATTGTGTGCAAGAAACTGTTCTTGGGGAGAAGAAAGGGTGCTCTTATTAGAGAGGTGTCCTCATTTCAGTGATGTCCTTATTACAGTATTAGGTAAAAGGATTACTTGGCTATAGACCACATACCCATAGCAACGGCTCAACAGTACATTGCAACTTCTGAAAAGGGGGGACCTTGGTGACATCGCGAGCATCCTTTATTCAGAGACGTCCCTTATTTGGAGCACGCTAATGTATTAGCATGGGAATGGGAAAACCATCCCTTTATTCAGAGGTTCCTTTCGTAAGTTTCTCCACGACATCTTCATGAGATATATACTAGCTATGTACCACATCTTGCGTTCCTCCCGGACACCAACGCAGAGCAACATATCCCCCATTTGAATTAGGAGACTAGACACGCAGTCATGAGATGCACCGTATATATACAAGCATGGATGAAACACGAGTGTTTGCCAAAGCCGAGTGCCTCACTTTGTGTGTGCATGTTTCCAGTGCATTGCTGTACGCGTTGACACACGGAGGGAGAACACGGCAATATTTTCACATACACAGTTTCTTTAGAGACCCACATGAGTGGTAGCTGTCCACCAACTAGTTACCATAATGGGGATATATGTAGTAGTGCACAACTGTAACATTATGCATAATGTATGCAACTGTAAATGGTTCTATACATTGCACTTTTGGTTGTGAATGTCAGTTTCTGTTGTTATGTAATATTACATCATCCCATTTTGTTTGCAAGCACCAGCATGACGTGGTGTGTATTACATACACATACAGTTAGAAGTATGATTGTTGCTGTCAAATATAGTGTTTGATTGTAAATTGTGGTTTTATTTCACATGGGATCTTGACTGACCTGATTGTATATCAGTGGCCTTATATAGCATACTACATCACAACTTTTGAACAACTGACTGCATTTTTGTGTATGCATATCAAATTATTCGGGACAGATTACACACAATGCGAGTCATAATTATATGGGCACAACTCCGTTCTTAGAACTGTAGTGTTGAAAGACAACTCTTTTTGTGAGCAATTAACCGAGCAGGCTGGGCGTCTGTATGCGCATATTTTCACTAGAGGCATGTTCAGGTGCAGCCTTAATTTTTGCAATTTTTGGGACAGCACGTATTTTACCGCTTTGCCTTCTCTCTCTCGAGCTCATTTGCCAAATAGAGTTGCATTTGGAATTGCTGCTATAGAAAAACGTAATCCATATGAAGCCCACCCAGCCATCTTTCTCAAGGCATCATTAGCTATTTAAAGGGAATGTGGCAGTATATAAGGGCTAAATTTAGAAATGTTACTAAAACTGACCTCAATTGCATTCTTTCACTGTGCCCCTATTGTTTTGTTCTATCTTAACATTTCTAAATTTAGCTCTTATATACTGCGCATTCCCTTTAAGTGCAGGAAAGCACTTGCGGTTCAGAACTAATGAGATTCACCATCATAAGGCGAACAATCTCAATCCAGACATTACACAAGTTTGGAGATTGTGCTGCCAAGTTTTCAAATTAACCCGTATCAACTTTGCGTGCGGTTTATTACACCAGTTAAGATATTGCTCGAGTGACTTTTGCTTGCTCTGAATCGCTACAAACGAACTTCATTTGTTGGTAATGCACAGTTTATATATACATCCCTGTTTATACATCCCTGGACCAACTTGTCGCATTTGTACACTAGATTCTCCCACGTCCAAACTGCACGTTTCAGGATACATATACACATCTTTCCTACCCATTATATTAGTGTACTGTATATTTTCAACTGTATATAGCAGAAGAGTATATACACATATGTGCCTTGTAGTGTGTGCACTCCCCGTTCACACGTGGGTCCCCATCTCTATAGAGGGTGTCAGCAGGAGTGCATTGCGTTTGAATGAGAGCTGCCCATTTCAAAGACCCTTAGAGCCAAGTGCGGCGTTCAAGTGCCAGCCTTAATAGGTTAGGTCTATGTAGGTTCTATGGCGTGCTGTAGGAGTAATAGCTGTGTTCTGTGACCATGCATGACCTTGTGCCAGGTAGTTGGTCCAGCGTCTGTAGTGGACAGGGCCTTTCATGGAGGCTCAACTTACTTCCCAACAATGCAGCCTTATTGTAAGGTCATTGTCTAGGGGCTATGTATTCCATGAGAGACGTGTGCCTATTTCACATGTAAGGAAAGTATCGCATTTACAATCTCTCTTTTATCTCTTTTCTTATTTCTTCTTTTATCCTCTTCCTTCCCCCCTCCGTCTCTCTCTCTCTCTCTCTCTCCTTTTCTTCTCGCTTCTCTTTTCCTCTTCTTCTTCTCTCTTCTCTCTTTCCTGTTTCTCCACATATAGTAATGGTCGTCTCTTCTGGGTGGACTCGACGCTGCTGAGAATAATGTCATCCTCTATCAATGGATCAAATGTTCAGACTATTGCCTTGTCTGGTGGCTTTCTTACACTGGGTTCGTTCATACTGTACGTACATTGTACTGTACTTACATTGTACAGTACACATTGTACTGTACTTTACATATGTACATACACATTGTATTGTACTTACATACATGTAGTGTACATACATTCACTGGGTCCATGTACATGTCTCAACAACTTGGTAGCGAGGTAGAAAGGCAAGGCACGGCAAACAAGTCAACTACACCCAGGACAGCTCTTTCTTTTCAAAGAAAAGAAGAAGAGCTGCCCTGGGTTGGATTCGAACCCACGACACTCTGCAGTCTAGGCGAGCGGACTAGCAAGGCAAAGGCAAAGCACAAAAGTCACATACACCATCATGCCTACAATACGTGACTGCATCACATATTTATAGCCTAGTGCATTACCATTATGGTTGGATCACGTTCCCCTAGAATTACCAGAGTTAAAAGAAAGCATCCCAATTATTGATCGGTTTTAATGGAAACAAGCAGGCCGGAGGCTAAACTTGATCTGAGAACAGTAAGTAAGGCTTGAGCCACATTGTAAGCTGCAGTGTCAAACTGAACCATGGCTGGCTTTACTGTGGCCTTGCCATTACGGCTTCCTAGGAGGCACTCTTCTTCCTTTCCCTAATGGTTATATGGTATCTGGGCATTGGGCAACTGTTACTCCATGTGTCTAGTCTTGGTTAATTACTCCAAGGTATCTGTGACGTTGGGCAACAGGTTACTCCTAGTGTCTATGCTTTGGGCATGTGTACATTATGCATGGTTAGATGTGGGTTATGCCTCCCAGCATGACTCAGGGCAACACTCGCTGGTTTCACCACTTCCTGTGTTTTCCAGTTTCCTTGTGTGCATGGCTTCCTTGTGAGCATGAGGTGTGCCTGCATGCTTATGCTTGATGTGTGTACTACATGTATATGCCCATGCTTATGTGTACATGTACGCCCATGCTTATGCTTGAGGTGCATACATGTCTTCTAAGACATGTGTTGGTGTTATGTGTTTGTGTTTGCACAGGTGTGGTAAGGTATCATTTTGGTCCTTGACTGACCCACAATAGGCATTCAGGGCCATAAATTGAATAGGTGTTCAACATGGAATAGGTGTTTAATGTGCTATAAATGGAATAGGTGTTCAACACACTTTGCCTGAATGTAGGAAGATGAGCATCTGTATGCACCATGTGCGGGAGTGTGTGTGTGCATGAGTGTGGGTTGGAGTGTAGACTGTAGTGGATGCTAAATGGATTAGGCTCTAAACTCCTACCATCATGGTGTCTGTGTTGACTGTAGTAGAGTAGACATTGTGTGAGTGAGCTGGGTGAGCTGGGTCACGTTGGTACTATATACACTGCAGTAGTTGGTGATGTGGATTTTAGGACCTGCCATGTCTTTATGGTAAGCTCACCGTAGTCGCAGATGTGATGCCCTGTTGCAAAACGTGTGTGACCCCCATGTGCCACTTAGATATAAAAGCTCCGCAGCACCATGGACCAGCACTGAATTACGCACTACGCGGAAAGAGGTGGTAAATTATTTTGCGCACGAGTAATTCCAGAGTAAGTGCACGGTTCTACGCGTGGGTGCACTAAGTTATAAGGCGTACGTTTATTAATGCTGTTTCGTTCATCGAAATGAGCATACAAAAACGCAAGTTATCACAAATTTGTGTCTCTCTCCCCTTTACTTATGTATTAATCACTCTGCGTACCTCTCTTGTCTTCTGCAGAGAGACTGGCGTATGACTGGCTGACAGACAAGCTTTACTGGACCGACTATGGCGCAGCCCAGATAGGGATGATTGATCTGAAGACGATGACCAGAATGGTCATTCTGCAGACTGGACGACAGCAGCTTAGCAGACCCAGAGCATTCAGACTTGACCTTAAGAGACGGTAAGAGGGGGTGGGAGGGAGGGGATGGGAGAATGAGGGAAATATTAGTAGGGGGAATGAGGGAGAGATTTTTGGGCGAGCGAAGAGGGGGAGAGAGAATGAAAAAAAAGAGAAAAGTGAGAGAAAGGGGGAAAGAGAGAGATGGGGGGGAAGATGAAGATATAGAAGAGGGAGCATGAAAAACGGGATGAGAGAGGGTGTGAGAGGAAATTTGGGGGGAGAAAAATGGAGAGGAGGAGAGGATAAAAATGGGAGGATAGAAGAAGAATTGAAGTGGCAAGATGTGACGTTTACACGAGTAAAAACACGTCATCGTACGTGCTATGCTCTCAAAATTGAATTCAGCGAGGAATGTGTCCCAGCCCTAAATATTTTGTGCCTCTAGTATTTCGAAATAGTCACAACCCCAGTTTGGAATGTACGTATGTACAACAACACGACACGTGGCGGTATATATAACACTGTTAGCGGCTATAGAGGCGATGAAACGAACGACCGGGGTTTTCTGGGCTAGGCTGCGATCCCAGGCAGAGAGCCAAGCCTCAGCCTCAGCCTCGCTCCTAATGGCATAACTCCTCCATTAATGGGCAAGCTTTCCATCCTAGAGAATTCTCTGCATTTGTAAGAGCAGAGCCCGCAAGGCCCAAGGCCAAGGATGGTAATATCACAGAGTGCCCTGGAGGGTGTTGTACTGCGTGTGCTGCATTTGTACCATTTGAGAGGTCCTTAGATTAAAAGGCCATAGTTTTGATTTGGACTAGTAAGGACTGGACATTCCCTCGACATTACATACCCCCTGAGAGGATTCAACCTCAAAATGTGTTCAACCCAACATGTTTTTATAAAAAATAATATACATACAGTAGCAACTTTGTAGCTTAACAAAAGTATCGCAGCTTTCTAAGAACTAGTAACCCTCAAACGCTTGCACGTGCATAAAACTCGCTGCGTTATCGAGAAATGACAGGGGCGAACACCAACACTTCTCTGACTTATGTAATATGGTGTGGTATGGTGGTGTGTCTTATAGCCCAAGAGCATGAAAATAAGAAGATGAACAAACAGGTTTGATCACCGGTAGTGCAGGTGTGCTCAATGCTTTGTACGGTCTCATTTGTACACCGTACCCACTGACACTGAGTGCTGTGTGTGCTGGATGTAGTAGTGTTTGGACCTTGCTTCCGACTCCAGAAGCCCATTGAAATGTCTGTTTTCACACCAACTTGGCTCGACCGAAACGTCTCAGTCTAGCGTCAGCGAAAAACTCTGTTTCCTCAAAGACAAGGAATGCTAGCTTTTTCAGGGATTGCCAGCACTGTTTGTCAGTATTTCACCAACACATCCACGTGTCTGCTCCCATCTGCCATCTTTCCGTCCAATAATAAACACGACGGCAACAATCTAATCACATTTTAAAGTGTAAACATCGTGACTCCTTCACAAAACTGTTTAAGGCGGCTCTATCCATTAGTATGGAGTTTTATTGCCGCGGTATTTAGAATTGCACACTTTGATGTGGAATTGTGCTAGTAATCAAATAAGTCGTGGCGAAGCTTCATGCCGTTTTGGGTGAGAGCGGACGCCACCTTGCTACCAATAGGGAGTTGTTGATTCGATTTGCGAATTCTGACAGGTGTACGTACACAATGGCTGCAGGTGTGTCGTGAGCACTTTCGTGGGGAAAGTTTCGTGTGTTTATAAAGAGCATTGGATGGCTTGCCGTAGTCCGCTTGTGGAATTGGGGAAACAAAGTGCCGATTATACATTGCATCACTTGTATTGTTTTCCTATGTAAGGGGGTAAGGGTGTGTAGTGTGTGGTCAACAGAGGCACAGTTTGCCATCACACATTCTTTGCAACTGGGTTTTTAGGAGCGGGAAGGTTTTGAAGTACATTCTGTGCAACTGAAGCGCAACTTATTGCGTCAATCGTGTTTCCTTTGTTAGCGTTGGGTGGGAAAGAACATGTGGCGTGACTTGCTGTATTCCACTCATGGAAACGAGGAAGCGATGAAGCACCAGTTGCGCAATTTGTTTTTCTCAATCCGTTTGTTAGTGTTTATATAGTCACTTCGGTGAATTGAAAATGGGTGGATTACGTACCTCTACAATAGAAGCACCAATTGCGTCACGTATTTCGAGAGTTGGCTTTTAGCGTGAGAAATGCTATACACGGTCATTAGGTGGACTACCTTCCCTTTCAAGATGCACTGAGAAGCATAAATTGCTTTACGATTGCTTTACGATTGTTGTAATTACGGGTGCGTAGTTGATGACTAATGACAAATTGTGAAAAAATAAAACTCAGATTAGACAACTTGGTTTCTGAGTCGGTTTTCCTTTGTCATATGGAGTGGGCAGTGAGTGAGTGTGTTTGGTCTTTATGACTCCCGGTGCTGCATACATCGTCAGTACCCACTGTGTTGGGGTGTGTTGGTTCTATGGCATAAACAATGGCACTTTTGAACCCCTCCTAGAAACAAACCAGACTTGCCAAGAATTTTAGACTGCCCATCTAGTATGTACTGTTTTTCATACACAACGCAAAACTACAGTCTTTGTGCTTTTCTCCAGGACTGTTGTTCACTACAGTCTTTTTTTAGTCACAACGCCTCCTGACAGAAACTGTTTCCCTTCTGACCATACATACGTACTGTACTTTGACCCCATTCATCATCTTTTCCTTTGCCTCTCCTCTCTATAGACAAATGTACTGGATAGACTGGTTGGACGAGTCTGGGTCGGCTCTAATTGAAAGAGCTTCCATGGACGGTAGTGATCGACAAGTGATTGTCAACACCGTTCGCTCGAGACCTTACGACCTTGCACTCGACGTTGAAATGGGGAAAATCTACATCATCGACGGCTATCACGACACCATATCATCCATGGATTTGGATGGGTCCAACAGCCAACAGCTGCAACTGTTCCCCTCGAGTATCGTTCCCTTTTCCCTCGTGTACCATGACGGAGTTCTCTACTGGACTGAGAGGAGAATTAGGCTGATATCAAGGCTGACGGTGGGCGATAACGAACCGAGACAGCTGGGGAACGTGAGCGTGATGACTAGGCGACCTGCCGGACTGGTCATGATCTCTCCAGATTTACAACCTGACTGTGAGTTGAAACTCTCTGCTCATCCTCTTTCTCACTCCCTTCCTATCCTACATTTCTCTTCATTTTGTCCCCTGTCATTTTCTACTCTCTCTTTCCCTCTTTCCTTACTCTACCAATATTATATCTCATCTATGTAAGATCTAACGTTATAGAAATCCACTTGTTAGCTAATGTCTGGAGACAGTGCACCTGACTGCTCAGCATACTTGTTCAAACAGACGGAAGCATTAGCAAAGCTACATACACACAGACTCTATCACTTCTACACCCTTCTCCTCCTCTCTAATCGACGCCATAAATGTCCGGGCCGGGCCAGTCCATGTCTACATCTGTAGTGTATGTTCTAAGGCAGAACACCTGACCATACTAGTTGGAGCTATTGTTCAAACAGACGGAAGCATTTGCAGAGCTGTGCATAGTCTAAAGCTCTCTCCTTCCCTTGTTTACTACTCTTACTTTGTCTCCTTGACACGATAAATGTCCCTTCAAGTCCATGTCTTAAATACTATACCAATGTTCTAAGATACAACACCTGACTGTAACAGGTGGAGCTCTTGTTTGAGTGAGACGGAACCATTTGCAGAGCTACATAGACACCACCTGCCTTATAACCTAAAACACCGCAAATTATCTTTGACTATACATACAGAACGCAGTGGCATACTCTAGCTATCACCCATCACAAAATACAGCATACGTATATGTCGGAAAGCATGAAAGGGTGCATAATTTTGTTTAATGGCCCATCAGGAAAACAGGCCTTTTCCTCTTGGCAGTGCTTCTGCACACAATGAACGTCATTGCTATGCATCATCTTACTACCATACCACGCCTTGCGTTTATCCACAATTAATACTCCATTCTTTTCCCTAGAGCAATTACATAAGTCATGCCCCCACACAGAGTTTACCAACTGCACATTAGAACCGTCTTGTCACACAAACACCTGGAAACAAATCAGATTCCTTTTGGACGACATCATGTTTGCATACGGCGCGTGCTCTTGTACGTGACGGGTATAGTATAGCGACGTGGGTGCAGATCTCAAATGTCGTTTCTGGAGTATGAGAAATAATTGCCACTACCGACACGAGCCAAGCCTGTTGTCTCTGCTCATTACTGGGGTGCATTTCAAGGAAAGTGTGGTAATGCGTTGGGAATCTTTTCAGGAGCCCTTCACTCCTTTGAGGGGGTACCATACGTACGTAGACCAGTATACTGTAACTGGAGTCAGTTACTGTAAAAGGTATAATTTCAGCAATCAGCCAGTCACCCTCACTTGTACTTTTCTCCTCAACTTTGTCCTTCCTGTTTTCCCTGCTTTGCCCCATTCTCATTATCCATTCACTGTCCTCTTTATGTATTATGGTAATTTTTGATGCCAGCATATTATTGCTAGATAGCACTAGTGTGTCCTTTAGTACTGAAGGTTTGTGCCGGCAGCGGTTTTTAGATTTTTTCCTCTTTTTTCCCACCTGATTCTCTCTATTTATCCTGATTTCTTTTCTCCCTCCCTTCCTCTATCCGGATTTCTTTTCTCCCACCGCAGACGAAAACCCTTGCTCTGCCAGCGGGTGTAGCCACATATGTATACTCAGCTCTTACGACGTGAGAGGATTCACCTGTGCCTGTGGGGAAGGAGTCGAACTGTTAGAAGACCAGCTAACATGCAAAGGTATATACACTTAACCTTAATGTAAGTGCTTATGCGGTATAATTTTATAGTACAAATAGCTTTCTTCACCGGAGTATTGCAGATTGAGGTATTGGTTATGTTTGTAGTCAATCTCATCTTGGCGAAAAAAATGGCAATGTTGCATGGTTCGAATCAAACTTTCAACGGTGGACCCCTCTGCTCGTGCATCGATGAAGAACGCCGCGAACTGCGATACCTAGTGTGAATTGCAGAATTCAGTGAATCATCGAGTCTTTGAACGCAAATGGCGCCGTCGGTCAAGCGAGCGGCACGTCTGTCTGAGCGTCCGTGAGATTGCCTGCTCAAGCTGTTCCCGCTTCGCTCGCCGTTACTGGGGGAATCCTGGTTAGTTGGGCAGCTAGCTCTTTATTTTTCCTTGGAAAAAAAGAGCTGTCCTAGGTGTAGTTGATTCGTTTGTTGTGCCTTTGCCTTTCTACCTCATAGTTTTCACATGCATGCAATAGTCCGTCGTGGGGTTCTCTAATAGCTTTTCTTTGAGGTGTTTTGCATGTATGTATATAAGTGTAAGCTCCTTTCCCTTACAGGGACACTCACAGTTGCTCCCACGACCACCGTAACGTCTCCTACAATAATAAATCCTCCACCGACTTCTGGTATGTGTATAATAAGTACACCTTGTTCGCACAGTGTATAAGTACGTACTATGCATGGTATTATATGTATATATGGGTGTGATTGGACTATACTACAGCCAAGTATTGTTGTGTTCACGTAATACTGCAAACGCCATATCGTATTTTTTGGAAGGTTAACTGGGTGTGACATCCTTTATCAGTATTAGTGACCTAATCCAATCAGGTACAGTAGCTTAGATGTCTATCCGTCTAGTCAAGTGTGATAATTTCATACAACATCACTATTATATGAAGAGATGTATAAATCCCTCTTGTATACGTCTTATTAGTCCCTCTGCCAAAGTCAATGGAGAGTTTATAAGTGGTCCTTGTTGCACTGCCCTCTGCTTTTTTAGCATCGGGGCTAGGTTCGCCATGTGTTGCATTGCCCCGTCGCGCCGTGCCGAGTTTCCACGTCGCGACGATAAAATCCATTTCCATCTTTGTGGCGTGGCACGGCGCGACAGGGCAATGCGACGTATTGTGAACCTAGCCTAACACTTCGTTGTCAATGATGTATACTCACGCACGCAGCTAAGTGGTGAGCTAATCCAATGATGCAATCACAAATTTGATTGTAAGCTGGCAGTGGTTCATTTCACCATGTCAACCAAGTGTACAGACTGAGGCCTACGTAACCACAGACAAATTAGTCACACCAGGAATTTCGATTGCGTGGTCGTCCTTTGTGAAACTCTTTCCTGTTTAGGACTTTCCGGGCCTAAATATTTTGTCTTTTAATGGAAATATTGACCCTGTGCCTTGGCGAGCGACAGGCACACCCTAAACCACTTGTGCATGTATTTTGACTGTAGAGCCCCTGTGTTATAGTGTCTTTACTATATTGTTGCCTGTTTGATTGTGCTGGACCAAGGTGTATCCAAATAGTGTGTGTAGTGTGTATGGTGTGAATCTGCTATCAGGAATGCAGTTGTGACTTTGTTTTCACTGAGTGGTGGGGTTTGATACCTGTCACTGTAGAGCCCCTATGTTACAGCGTCTTTACTAATATTGTTGCCTGTTTGATTGTGCTGGACCAAGGTGTATCCAAATAGTGTGTGTAGTGTGTATGGTGTGAATCTGTGATCAGGAATGCAGTTCTGACTTTGTTTTCACTGAGTGGTACATACATGTACAGTATGACTCATGGTTGTTTTCTCACTCCTGAGTTCGTACCATACTTCTTGTTCCTTCTTATGAATTTATGTGTGGGCAACTTCATTTGTGTGCTGCTTCCATGCATTCTGTATGTGTGTGTATGTTTGTATGTACATGATGTACGTGTGTGTGTTTGTGTGACCTGTACATTTGTATTCTTTCAATCTCTCCTTCTCTCTTTCTCCCTCTCTTTCTCACTTACTGTACATATTTCACAGCAGTTCTGTTGGTCCCATCATCATCATCATCATCAATACCAGTAGTGTCTCCAACTTCAGTCACTCCTCCTAGTGAGTCTGTGTGTGCGTGCGTGTGTGCGTGTGTGTACTGATCACTGTCGTTTTTATGTTATGTTTGTCAAGGAGCAGTCCTGCATTCATATGTACGCTGTTTCTTGATGAATCGTATACTTGTTTGGTTATGGTCTAATAATAGTGCATGGGTGAAACGTCACTATAGTAAGTGTATATAACTACTCAAATGTCTTCTCTGTTATCTATTCTTTTGTCACTGCTCAAAGAGAAATCATTCCTTATGGGTTCTCTGAAATTTTAACATCTTTCAGAGCATAAACTTATGCATATTGCGTGTTATGCTGATTGCGTCGGAATTTTGCTTAGCCTGACACTCATGCATAGAGGGTATTTGCCTGACTCTTTGATTGAAGTTTACATAAACTTGTACTTTTACTATGCTTTTTGATTGAAATGTACACGAACTTGTATAAAACGTGTAGATTTACTACTATATTTACAAGCTAAGAAGACACTATGAATATTAGTTCTGTACCCTACTGATGACAACTGTGCCTGATATTCATGAGTGTAACCCTCTCATTATTACCCGTTAGCTCATAATACACCCACTAAAGTTTGTTGTTAGAATGATCAAAGTCAATATATAGATCAGAAGAAACGTGCGCATTCTAAAAGCGATCAATTTGTTTTCAATAGCACTTTCCTTTGATGGCTTGTGTACCCCATTGTGTCTGCTGGTATACACTTGGCTCGCATGTGGCCAATTAGTGTGTATGATGAATGGACGAGGAGAGGATGCGCAGCGCGAGCCGGCAATCGCAGGATTCACAGCAACTACTGAATGGAGGGAGGCTCGAGCAGGGACGTGCGAATTGAATGGGAATTAGTGTGTGTGTTTTTAATGTGGCGTACCTATGTTCGAGGAAAGCAGCGTGTGGCATGTTTTGAACCAATTTCACAAATTATTGTGGACAATTTTGTTCTGGGTCACGTTTGTAAGCAGAAGGGAAGACACATAAGAACGGGGCGTGTTTAGGTGCGGGTGGGGGGGGGGGGGGAGGGGGGTGGGGTAGGGCGGAAAAGAGGGCGACTGCGAGTAGGGTGGTGGGAACGGAGTGACATGGGTTAGATGAGAGAAGGAGGGAAAAGGCGGTGGGGCTGGAATGGGGGGGGTGGTTGGTGAATAAGCGGGAGAAAGAAAGTGAATCAGTAGAAAACAAGGGGGAGTAAGAGGAAAAGGGATAACGAAGGAGTAGGAACAAGAAAGAAAGGGGGAGGTAGGAAAATACAACGAAAGGGTGAGTGAAGGAAAAACAGAAAATAATGGAGGATGAAGAGAAAGGAACTGGGGAGGGAGGAATAAAAGAATGGTAGGCGGTGTACCGAAAGAACGGGTGAGTGCAGTATCGACCTCACAGGCTGGCGGAGAGAAATGATGCGAGGAAAAGAAAGAACTTATGTTGAAACGAACTCCACTTGATTTCGTCCAATCAATCAAGTCTTCTTCCCCGGCCAGTCCCTCCCTCCCTCAACCACAATATGTACATTAGAGCCCTGTCCATGCATGAATGGTGGAGATTGTCGCAGACAACAAGGGTCAAAGGTGCAATGTCTCTGCCCTGTCGACTATACAGGAGACCTGTGCGAGAAACACATCAACGACAGTAAGTTATGTTGTGCAACGCTTTGCTAATTTACGAGCTCTTGTATCCGTGAAGTGTAAACTGACTTCGATTGCTACACTTTCGTGTTATATAATATTATAGTACATTTCCCCTCAGCCTGCATGTCCAATGCAGTAGCTATAAGTAGCCCTATCCTATATTTATGAGTACTTTGGCACACGGACTCCAGCTGGCATTTCTTTGAACCACACGTCGTGCTTCTCATAGACAAGTGTATGGCCCTGTATAAAACTACAGTGAGTGTATATGTTGTGTGTCCTCTACAGCTGGTGTGTGCGACCATCCAATCAATGCCATCCAGCCTCTCTGTGAGAACGGCGCAACCTGCGTCAACACAGGTGTCTTTGAATACCACTGCGATTGCAGACCTGGATTCGAAGGCCGATACTGCGAGAAGAGAATCAACTATGGTGAGTAAGGCTAGGTTCACAATATAAATAGCTTTGCCCCATAGCCGTTGCCGCGTCGCGAGGATAGAATCCATTTCTATCTTCGCGGCAGGACGCGACGCGGCACGGCGCGATGGGGCAATACGACATTGTGGACCTGTGTTGCCTAACACCAGCCACAGCAATCTCTTCACATCTTATCGGACACGTGGAAGTATAGAAACTGTTACCACTGTTCTTGCACTGGTCTCTATTGTTTAGTTCATCCTTCTAAATTTAGTACTGCCCAGAAACAGGTTCGCATGGCATGCCAGTAATTATAGTTTTACACCATCTATCCTATTTACATACGTATGTCTCTCCCCCCCTCTCAAACTGTCACAGGTGTATGTAATGAGACCAAGCCTTGCTACAACGGTGGAGTGTGCATTAATCAGGATGAAGACCCTGGCTTTACGTGCAAGTGTCCGAAAGGGTTTACTGGATACAACTGCACTTTCGGAAGCCTAGAAGGTATATATAATACCATATATATGATAGTCTTAGTTGACTTGGAAGAAGGGTGACTTAAGGAATGTGGAGAGCAGAAGAAAACCAGCTTGTTTGTCAGGGAATTGTAGCTCAGTGTATAGGTCACTGAACCTCCAGTCATTATACACCTGGCTTTAGAAGTTGCTTGTTTTCCCTCTTGGCCTGCGTATTCCGATACATGGTGAGAGACATTTCCAAGTAATTTCTCAGCATGATGCACTTGTGCAATCAAGCTCTGGCCGATAGAAAGCAAACAAACAACTGGGATGGGAACATGCTCAACACATTTCCTCATCGGCCAAGTTATCTTTCCATATCCAGGGATTGCTTATAGGTTGCTAGAGTGCTAGTACCTACAGCTCGTCAAGTATTCCTCCTTTGGAGCTAGTGTAACATATACATTTGCGTGCATTATTACTTGCAAGTGTAGGTTGTGCCTTAGTGCATTACAGAGTTAACGAGCTAAAACACACTTTTTTACTACCATTCAAGGGTGCAAACTCTTGCGATGCTGAGGCATTTTGCACTGGTTATCCTACTGCATGAATGAACTTTGCGGATGCATCTCTTACCTCAAAGTGTTTGAGGAGAAGTCCAGGCAAAACACTGACATTCAATACATGATGGGATAGCCTAGAAATACGTGTGTACCAACTAGTGGAATGCATTATATTGACCCACCTCCAAAGTTTCTCCACAAATCACTGTAATGGCAAAACTCCGCGACAAGTCTTCTGCGTTGAAAGTTTCCTGCTTGCTTTACCGTTACTGTCCCTCCTCAGGTACTGATCCTGCCGTCAGTTCAGGAGTATTTGTTGGAGTAGTGGCTGGGTTTGTAGCAGTTGTCAGCGTTCTCCTCGTCGTTATCATCTGCGTCTTTGCAATGCTCAAGAAACAGAGAGAGAAAAACAAAGCCCTGGAAGGGTCAGGTATGTTCAACGTTTGTATATATAAAATACCGACACTTTCTTTCACCACTTTTCTGTGTGGCCGATGTGTAATGTGTATTCACAAGCTCTCAATGACTCTCTTCTTCCCTCTATTCTGCCTCCTCTTTCCTCTCCTCTCTTCCTCTACCACCTCCTCTACCTCCTCGTACATTCTCTGATCCTCTGCTTGCTCTCTTTTCACCCTCCTCCTCACTTTATTCCTTCTCTCCTCCTTCTCTCTCTGCTCCTCCTCCCCCTCCCTGTCCTCTCATGCATGCAGCATCAAGTAGAAGCAACAGTCCAATGATAAAGACGAAGAGGATGATGTATAGATCAGACGAGACTCCAAGCTCCACGGACACGGCCAACCATGACTACTGGCTTCAGTCTCAACCCTCCATCATCCGAGGACAGACCAACCTCTACTCACAGGTGAGAGTGTGATGTACATATGTAAAGTGGAGTCATAAACTGCTGTTCTCTTTTTATTATTATATGCCACTTATGATGCGTCCAGAGTAGGCTAGTCAAGAGGCCCTTAGAAGCTGCCCCCTTCTTCCCATTTCTCTTTCTTAATGTGAAAGTGCGAGCTGTTTCTTTAGTAAAGAGGAAGTTGGAATCATAACTGCCCTTTTGTTAGTGTAAGATGTCCTATTAACAGAGGTATTGCAGAAAGGTTTCCTTTTGTTCAGGGTCATAAGATGTTTCACTATGGCATATAATACCTTCATCTTCTTTTGCAATCTTTCAGCATCGACGTCCACGTCATGATAATGAATCATGTCGATTATACACACAACTTAAATCACGTTCCACAGTTGAGCGATACTGCATTGTTAGGTTCAGCATGTCTGCATGGAATATTATTGCAGTGCACCTTGTGTGATCACAATTGCAACTACGGCCTACTATGTATTATAGCTGTGCCCAATCTGTGTCTTAATTGCAGGGGCCGAGAAGGGTACCACCCAACCTGAGAGCGTACGCCAAAGCTGAAAGTTTTGACGAACTCAGCCGAGAAAGCAAAGTGTTGACCGTCTGACTAGCTAGCCCCTTCACCCCCCCCCCCGCCATTCAGTTCAATCAATAAATAATTATAGGTATATACACCCTCTAAAGCCTCTATAGCCAACGAAGATTATCAAACATTATTTTTCCTCATCTTTAAATTATTATTATTATAACGTACTTTTTGTGTGTTACCATGTGGCACCTGTGGCACATTTGCTGTGTATAAAATAGCATATCATACTGCATTGGTTTTCATTTATCATCATCCTTGACATTGATTCAGAGCACACAAAGCAATCATTCTCACTTTCATCAGTTTATCAGTATGTATTTCTGTTGTGTATGTTCACAGATCAATCAGTTGTGTTATACTAATTGCATGAAAGCAGATCGGATCTAGCTATAAATTATACCACGATTGTTGCACGAGTTGGTTATACAGGTAGAAGATAAACTGTGGCACTGCAACTCTAGTACACCGGTATATACCTAGCTATGACATAATTATACATAATGATAACTAAAACTGACAAGGAAGAGAACAAGTTAATAAAACTAGTGCCTCAACAAAATGGCACACTGGACGGAGACTGCTTTGTAGAAAATGGAATTTACTATAAGGTGCCTTCACATCAGCTGTATGTCAATAGAACCCCTTACATCGTAAACACAAATGAAATTTCCCTGAAGCATGGACGGAGGGATTTCAAACAGACCAGAGATTTCATGGAGCCACACTCGCTGTCCGTTCACCAGTCGCGGAAAGGTGCTCATGCACCATCCGTCGATGGCAAATGGAATCTCAAACTGTCCTTTGACTTCCGTCCAGGTTACATCTAGAACAGCCATGGCTTTCTGCCCAGGCTGCAGTGTGACATCAACACTCTCGGTCACTAGAACTTTCTCAGAGTTGGAGCAAGTGTAGCCGGCGGTGTTTTGAATGGAGAGAGGCTGTGAAGACACAAAGTGTCTGGTTCCAGGGTGTACTAAATGGAGAGGGATCTCTTTGTTGAATGACACGTCACTCTCCTGTGTGACAGTCACAGAAACACCCCTTGTGTGCACAGATTCCAACTCCACACGCAGTGTCAGCGGCTCGAAAGAGTCATTTGCAACGATCTTCGAGTCTCCAGTTGTAACTCCAGTGGACTGCTGGAGATTGTTCAGAATTGGGTCTCTCTGAATCGTGTGACAGAAATGCCCATACTCCATGCATATCCCGTCATTCACGCAGACACTGTCAGGCTCCATGCTGTAAATGTCCCTCAGTCTCTCGTGGAATGAATATCTGGGGAGTCCAATCTTTTCCAGATCTTTCCACCTGCTCAGAACCTGGTTAGGACCACTGCCTTTCTCGACAGCAGGCCGGCATCTGGGAACGTAGCTCTTCTCCACTGCTGCCATACCTTACTCAGCTTATGAGCAGAATCTGTCTCCAAGCTCAGGTTTAAAATGCTGCTTGCTTCTGTAGACAGAGAATGTCTATATATATAGCAAGGATTCCTTTCACTTCCCACTAGTTTCTTGTATAGTCAATGGTCACTGCGACTGTAGACTGAGTGTTGACTTACAGGAACCTGAACCATGCTATGGCATACTTTAGCAGAACTAGAAGCACTCTAAGCTGTTGTTTGCTCACTGAGAGACCTACAAACACACAGCAGTTAGAAATTCATCTGACCATGTTAGGTAATCATAGCTATCACAACATACTTCGTGGACCATTTATACACTTAGTTCTGGGAACGCTATTATATGCATGGGATGCGCCACGTACCATTTAGTACATGTGTACTTGGACACATATTACTAGGTAACCAGAATGTTGCTACGCAGCGGAGCCCGGAAAACAATAATTTCTTGTAATAGCTCATCAAAGGACTGGTGGAATGACGTTGCTAAATAGCAACAGTATGTGCAAATCGGCAGTTGGACGAGCGTCATGGTTCCTTTAGCGAGCGACACGTGCACAAGTTCCTATGCGCATGCGTATCAAAATTACGCGTGCGGCGCGCGCAACGCCCCAGCAGCAGCAGCTAGCTGACTGAGCTCCGAGCAGAGAAAATAATCTCGGAAATGATCATTCGTCTATATACTTGATTGGTTTATGTCATGTAGAAGACGTTTTCCTTTGAAAGACTATGGTCTATTCACACTGATTTTCATCGAAATTATTTTATGCCTGGGCATACTGGGTCAAAGTTCACAAATGTGCGAGTTTTATTTTGTGACCGAAAGGGGTATACCGATGGCAGAACCAGATCACGACTCTTTCGACGCCGAAGACTATCTCCGCACCCGTTTCGGGAACGTAGAGGCGAAGGACCGCGTTCAGTTTCAACTGATCAAGCTGCACGAGCTGTTCCAGTCGTTTTCCCCTCGTTCTGGGATTGGACCCAAGGTTCTAGAGTTTGGCAGTGGACCAGTGATACAGCACGGAATTAGCGCTGCTGCGTTCGCCTCCGAGATCGTGTTCAGCGACATCTCCTCCTCCAATCGCAAGGCCATTCAGAAATGGCTGGACAGAGACGCCGACGCCTTCAACTGGTCGCCTCATTTGTCGGTCGTCAAGACTCTCGAGGGAAAGGGCGAGAAGGAGGCCAGGGAGAGAGAGCAGCGAATGAGAAAGATCTCAAAAGTCGTATTCTGTGACGCTCTCTCGGAAACACCCATGGAGAAGGGTTATGAAGGTCCATACGACATTATTCTTGAATGTGGATGTCTGGATGCAGCTTGCTCAGACAAGCAAACCTTTGAGAAATGCATCAAAGTTGTACATTCTCTCCTGAAACCAGGTGGAACACTAGTTCGTGTCTCTCCCAATGCTAATACCGACATGGAGAATTTGGTATACAATGTCGGCGGTAAGGAGCGTACCTGCATTCGATTGACGCACGAGTATGTTGCAAGAATTATGACGGAGAATGGGTTTCGAGATGTTGAGGTTGCTTTTTCTCCACTCGATCCAAATACATCTGGGCTTTTCCACGAGATGATTAAAAAGACTGCTAATGGATATCATTTCATCAGTGCCACAAAATGACTACAGCAAAAACTTGTATTATTACAACATAATCAAACATCAATGTAGGAATGGCAGATCAAAAGGTGTGCAGCCTTCCTAAGGAGCTACAGGGTAACACATTTATGAACTGTACATATTATTATGATATTGTAGTAAAATGTTCCTATCAATTGAAAGGTTAACAATTTTGTCATCCAAATTTGAACATTATATTCTTTAAATCACTGGACATGAAAGTGCTAATTTTTTTAATGAAAGTTGGAAACAACTTTTACTTGAGACACTGTTTGCTATATAGCTACTCCACAAATGCTATCTGCCACTTCATAAGGGGTTTCGTTACACTCTAACAGCTGTGATGAACTGGTATCCATTTGTGGTCTTCAGCATTGTTAAGGTTTCGCATGCCACCTATTGTGTTTAGGGTCGGCACCACTTTTGTCTGTGGTTCAACGGCATTACAGAAGCGCACGCATGCGCACTTGGACTACGCGACTGACGGAGCCTTCATTCGACGCCGAATTCGAGCAACGTTGGATCGTGTTGAGTTTCCGCTGCACTAGCACCATAATTATTGTTACACACAAAATATCGGAATGTATCGGGTACAGATGTAGCTAACTATAGCTATACCCCAAAAGCTGGTCAAGTTACTTCAACAGCTGTCACGATGGTATATAGCTACTCATTATAATTACTCCTTAACAGCTGTGATGAAGTGGTATCCATCTGAGGTCTTCTTCACCATCTCGTGGTAATGGCCAGTAGTATTTGGATCAAGTGGAGCCCAAGATGCACTGACTTCTCGGAAACCACTCTCCCTCAAAACAGATGTCACAAACTCGTGTGTAAATCGAATACATGTGTAATCTTTCCCACCTACGCTCCACAAAACTTGATTCCTCGTTTCAGAGAGAGCGTTTGTTGCAACGCGAACAAACATCCCGCCTGGTTTCAAAAGGGAGTGCAGATTTCTTACACACTTTATGAAGTCCTTCTTTTCTGCGCATACAGCATCAAGACATTGCATATCAAGAACCACGTCGTATGAACCCTCGTAGCCTTTCTCCATGGGTGTTTCCGAGAGAGCGTCACAGAAAACGACTTTTGAGATCTTTCTCATTCGCTGCTCTCTCTCCCTGGCCTCCTTCTCGCCCTTTCCCTCGAGAGTCTTGACAACGTAGTCGAAATGAGGCGACCAGTTGAAGGCGTCGGCGTCTCCGTCTAGCCATTTCTGAATGGCCTCGCGATTGGAGGAGGAAATGTCGCTGAACACGATCTCGGAGGCGAACGCAGCAACGCTGATTCCGTGCTGTATTACTGGTCCACTGCCGACCTCGAGAACCGTCCCAGAACGAGGGGGAAACGACTGGAATAGCTCGTACAGCTTGACCAGCGGAAACTGAACGCGGTCCTTGACGCTCTCGTCCCCGAAACGGGTTCGGAGATAGTCGTAAGCATCGAACGAGTCGTAATCACTAGCCATAAGGTTATCCAACCATAAGGTTATCCAGGCACAGATGGGCGGTGCCGCACCATTTTAGCGTTCTCTAACGAGCATGCGCAGCGAGGGTTGTACTTGGTTGTCCGTCCGTCCGTCCGTCCGTCTGTCTGTTACCACGTTTTCTCCCGCTACGCGAAACAAGACGCCCAAAAAGCTATACCAACGGGTTCAGTGCCACACTGGCTTTATTTTAAAAATAGCGATTTCGGTAAAAATGCTGCGTTCGAAAGTTATGGCGTGAAAAGCAAGTCAAGGAGCTAATATGCAAATTAGCACTGGCTTACCTCGGCCAGCTCTGCGTACCTTGGAGGCACCAGAAGTTGCAACGCAGGACGAGTATCGACTCCCGCGTGCTATCTAGCAGTGTAGCAAGCCTGTGACCGACTCTCAGCGAGCTGGTAAGCGACCACGAGTCAGTAAAACGGTAAAATTGGACCAGCCCACCAATTAACAGTGCCGCGCATGCGTACGGTATAGCGTGTACGTCATCCGCATCTACACCTTGCATGGGACAAGGCTGCGTAGAAAAGCATTGCAGGTGACCTGCTGAGGCACAGCCTGCCGTGTAAGAAAATTTTAATATCCTGCTCCTCCCCACACCATTCAGACATCAGAATGTGCACAGGGTGAGCAAGGATCTACCATTGCTAACCTACTGATGTAGCCAGCCCATGATGACATGTAGCAGCTTAGTAGTATGTACATGTACTTAAGCATGTGTATACAAATTAATCACGCCCACTGCGCCGAGGGTTAGCACTTCAGTGCCTTTCATTCATTTTGTAATGTATGAGGTGTTTCAGACGTTTTTGTGAATTAGGCTGCTTTGTGTAGTCAATATAGCCATGAGCGGCCCTGGAACATGTGCAAGTGAAGGCACAGTACACCATTACGCTACCTTAGAATTAGATTGCAAGGAAGGTGTAGCAGGGTTCTTGCTGGTATCTACGCATAATATACTAGCTAGTACTACTAGGTAATGTCGTAGGTGTGGTAGTAAGGCTTTAGAAGCTGCCCTAAAGTTTTTGTCCGCCTTTGCTTGGCGGCTCCATTGTTATGCAGTCGCAATTGCCCTATTTTGTGCGCAGCAAAACTCGTGCACGCGCACTTACACATGAACCTTTGTCGCCCTTTGTCCACCTCAATAGAAAAGCCCATGGAGGTGGATCATGATCAATTCTACGCTCGAACTCGTTCAGTTTCCGCCGATCGAGCTGCACGAGCTATAGATATTCCAGTCGTTTTCCCCTCGTTCTGGGTTGGGTCGGGTTGTGGGCCAGTAATACCGCACGGAATCAGCATCGCTGCGTTCGCCTCCGAGAGTGTTCAGCGACATTTCCACCGCGGCCATTCAGAAATGGCTGGACGGTGACGCCGACGCCTTCAACTGGTCGCCTCATTTCGACTACGTCGTCAAGACTCTCGAGGGAAAGGGCGAGAAGGAGGCCAGGGAGAGAGGGGCAGCGAATGAGAAAGATCTCAAAAGTCGTTTTCTGTGACGCTCTCTCGGAAACACCCATGGAGAAAGGTTACGAGGGTCCATATGACATTCTTCTTGAATTTGGATGTCTGAACGCCGCTTGCTCAGACAAACAAACCTGTGAAAAATGCTTATAAGTTGTATATACACTCTCTCCTGAAACCATGTGGAGAGCACTAAGAGTTCGTCAGTGCTATTGTACGGACATGCAATGTCGGTGATAAGGACCGTACAAACCTGCATTCGATTGACGCAAGAGACTAATATACGTTGTAAGGGTTCTCAAGGAGGCTGGATTTAGAGAGGTCAATGTTGCTCTTACCCACTAGATGATTCTGGTGTGTCAGGGTGCTTCTGCGATTTGATAAAGACTTCAAATGGATATCAGTTTATTAGTACCACAAAATGATGTGCTTGGGCACTACAAACCACAACCGTATCGGACAAAGCATGCACACTATTATAATGCATTGAGAGACTGACAATACGAATAGTTACTACAATTGGTGTGGGATGTTGACGCATGTTGCTCGCTGTGCATGCGTACCGCGCTGCCATGGCCACACGCGCATCTATATACTCGTTCAACAACAAACCGATAGTCCTGCGCTACTTGGTCAGTTAGCGTGATGCGTTCCTTCGCCGCATTGGAGTTTTCTCTACTGTCAGCGCTTCTATCGTTGCATTATGCAAGTGGTGAGTTCTAACTTAAGTATTTTGCATGACTCTAACTTAGCCTGTAGCTACCCAAGTGCCGATTATAACTGCAGGTGAACTAGAGCTACTATTATCCGGCTATACTAATATCCCGACCGATGGTAGTGCAGTACTGGCAATCCCATACATTGGGACGCACGACCTAGGAACGGCTCTCGTTTGTCGACACGGGCTCACCGGCATCCCGCCGTCCGCCGCCATCGACAAGTGGTTCTTTGTACGCGAGAACGGAGACGAGGAAGAGATATCGAGCTGGCATGGTTTCTCGGTGAGCCGGGGCCAAATGCACGGGGAGGTGAGATTGGAGAGAGTGACAGGAGCCTCGCCATTAGAGGGGACCTATAAATGCTCAGTGGAAACCAGTCCTTCGGTGATTGAAACTGTCACAGTCGAGCTATACTGGCCATGTAAGTTCTGTATCTACAACAGCAAACAACATTTGGGTATATTATAATTATTGTTATAAGTATTTTTATGGTCAAGGGAGCTATATCTTTTGCCTAAAGGAGTGGTCGAAACTGCATGTGACTTTGTTAATTGATACTTGGTTGGGGCAGTACCTAATCATAAGATAGAATTACATCAATTCACATTGCACCTTTGCTGCCTGGAAGCTTGTATGTAGGTAACCTCCATACAGACACCCGATCCCCAAGCACTGAAACAGTGTCAGTTAGAAGGCTAAGACACACCTTGGGCTGGAATACCCATGTTAGCTACAATTATGCCTGTCACTGAGTTTCTTGGTGGGGAAAAATACATAGCTAAGACGGGAAAGTCTTTATTATGAGCAAAATTCTCAGTGTTTTTTGCGTAGATATGTATATAGCTACTACCTACAGCCTTTTTTTGGTTCACTATGACTTTTGTAACGTATTCACACTGTATATATAATCAATACATGGACAAAAATAATTTTCAGTTAGTTTTTTTCTGTTTTGACAGTATCCAGTCTTGAGGTATCGATTGAGGTGTTGTGTCAGACTGCGGAGAGACTACAGTTTGCAGTGAGCTGCAGGTCAGAGGGAGGGAGTCTAGTAGGCAGCTCCCTGACTGGACCCCTTGGGGAAATCCTCGGCCAACTTACACTGGTGGATAACGAGGTTGAAATGAGAGGCGCCGACGTCTATTCCCTGGTCGTGGAGAGGAGCGAGGGGCAGGATGGAGACGTGTTCAACTGTACTGCTGTCACAAGAGGGTCTAGTCACACGGCGAGGATTGCTCTCTCAGGTTTGCCAACCACCAAACCCATGTTCTCCATCATAATACTACTACTATTGTAACTGCATGTACATAGTTACAGTATAATGTTGCTACTAAGAAGTGCATAATAGTAACACTATGTTAATTCTGAGTCTACGCTATGTTATATAGTAAACAGACAAACTAGAGGATGTAACCCATTTTTTTGGCAGGCGAAGCGAACATTTCAATATTACGGGCGTTTTAGCGTGTATTTAGAATCATGTAATTACGGTATGTTGCTCTGTGGGTCGGTCCCCGTTCACGGCTACAGATAATTATAATGGACAAATTCCGCATTCAGATGCCTAGGTGGGCCCATTTTCCCCGCCAATAAGTCTGCATATTAAGTGTACAGCAAATGGCGTCGTTCAGTTTATTCTGTGAAGAGCTCCACGAGTTTAAAGTTTGAAAGTGAACATGGGTGTAAAGTGTGGCCTGACTGCTGTCTCGTAAATATGTTTCTGACATTCCAAATGATTGTCGGAATGCAAGAGCAAATGGTACGTGATGTACAATGCCTACTAAAAGTCAATGGTGTGCAACTGTTGAGAATATCAAAGTCACATTTCAACATTCTTCAACCATACAGTGTGATACACAATATATTATAACCAAAGTTGGATCTTGAGTTTAAAAAATTGAGAGAGGCATGAGACAGTGTTATATTGGCTTTTATAATACACACAGTTGCTGTAGATTTTTTTATATATAGGCCTTCAATAACATACTCATGATGTAACTATGATGTAATCACAGTTGCTGCAGATGTTGAGAAAGCGGTGGTGACCCAGGTACCGTCTGCGAGCCCTACTCTCAATATCAGTTGGAGTCTAGGGCCAGGGGGTGCCCCTATAATTAACTACACTCTTCACTACACCAGTGCCGGTATGGACGGAAGAGGTGACGACAATGGCAGTGTGGCTACAGCAGGGAACAATAGTGTGGGTGTCATAGAGGGCCTGTTGGGAGATGGACGGACATACAGTGTACTTGTCGAGGCACATTCGCTCCATCTCAGTTCATTTTCTGAAACTCTCGTCTACACACCATGTGAGTATAGCTATATAATACTCTGTGCTAGAGCTAGAGAGTGGAGCCCCTCTAATCTGGACATTAATTGGAGAAATTCTTAAACAAGGACTGTTTGTGATAGTAGTAGACAGGTTCCATAAAAGTTCATGCATGAAAAGTATGTTTATAGCATACTAGCCAGAAAATAAAAGAAAGAAAAACCACAAGTCACCCTCCACCCCCCACCCTCCATCCAGGTACACACACACACATGATAGAACGTGGACTATCATGCGCTCTTGACATAGGGATGGAAGCTTCTCAACTTAAACCCTGGCAGTAAACTGATCCACTGGGTCTATGGTGTTCTAAGTTTTTTGCTCCGGTCTCCCAAAGCTTCCATTCCCTATGCTGCTATTGGTATATAGAAAATTGTCGCTCTTGCTTTCTGTGGACTTAGCGGTGACGGAAATACAAACATAAAAGCAGTGAGAGTTTGTATTCGATGATTAAAGGTGCTTGCTGCAGCTTTATGCAAGTGCAAGTAAAAGGTTTACGTCCATGGTCATTGCTGACATTCATCCTACATAAAAGCAAGTGAATGTTGAATGTTTAGTTATTATTACAAAGTTGGAGTTGTTATAAGACAGTTTGCAAACATTTCAGTTTCCTTAGGGGCTCTCTTAAAACATTTGCACCCATTTTTGCTTTGTTTGTTTGTAGGCGTTGTTTCTCAGTTGTTGCTGAGTTCAAAGACGCACAACTCTCTACTGCTAACGTGGGAAAGACCTGAATACTTCACTGCCGGTCTCAGGGGACTGGTGTACTACGAACCATTGCCTCGGGAGCAGGCAGGAAGTGAGGGCATGTGGCTATTCGTGGAGAGTGACTCTGACTATCTTCCACCTCTCGAGGGATTACAAGAGTTAACTAACTATTCTATAAGTATGGCAGTGTTGGATGACACGGACAGGCTGTGCGTTTTCAACGAACCACTTGTAGCTCAGACAGGTAATAGTTAATTGCATCTAATAGAGCTGTGTGCTCTGTAATAAAAATTTACACGCTTATATGCTGGTTAGTATGCCTATATGTCTTATGTATTGCTCAGTGCATACGTGGTGTGAATGTGCAGAGTGCTATATGTATATGGAGTATTGACTTGAAACATACATGAAATGTCATAATTATGACACAAAGGTAATGGCGCGTGACATGATAATTGATAGTTTCCCTTATATTGCTCACTATGTCCTATGAAAGATAATACCCAGGAAGTTGTGTCATAATTATGCAGCTGGAGGGTATTTTAATGATCCCATGACAAATCATGTATACTTCGGTATAATGATGGTGGCAAAGTACAAAAGTACCCAGGTTAAAACATTAGAATTATCTGGTGGTCTATACCGTGGCCCACAGGATACACTTTATACGGTGTTACGGCACATTATATTATAATGGTGCTATGGCACAATTTATACGGTATATACTACGGCATATTACAATACTATTTATAATGGTGCTATAGGATACACTTTATACGGTGTTACGGCACAACTTTGCAGGGCTAGGGCAAGTGCGAGATCTCAAAATCTCAGCAGAGAGGAATGAGATTGCATTGACTTGGTCTCCTCCTCCTTCTGCTCCAAGAGGGTTGTCCTTAAACTACACCGTCACCTACACCTCCTCTGCTGACAATAGTCGGACTACCACGACCACCACCAACAACCAGAGCTGGAGAATTCGAGCCAAACTGGGCGACGTGTATACCGTGACGGTCACACCGAATGGCAAGTTTTGTTCAGGAGAAAGCCTGGCTGTTACCATTGGACTAGACTGTGAGTTTGTCTGCACAATCACGTCAATGAATGAATGTTGTAGCGCGTACAGTGGGACCTCAGACATTAAATTAATAATGTGACAGGCTCTGAGAAAACGACCCTTATGACGCAAACGAAGGTCCTATAAATGCTCTATAGTTTTCCGTTTGTTTCAGGGGCGTAGCCCGTTCCGTTGCGAAGTTATGAGCACAAGCGCAAGTGCCATTCCGCTGCATCAAACGTGAAAAATCGCGCCTGAAGGTGAACTTCCGGTGTCAAATTCAACCTCCGTATTCTCGTAACAAGTCCGTGTTACAACATTGCGCGCGCGCGCGCATCCGGCCGCATTCATTGTACGCCGTTAGCTTTAGTAAAGGGGAATTCCCGTTTACGTGACCCCGTAAAAGGTTTGATTATTCCCGTGTTACGTTTACTTGTAATTCCGCGTTACGACGGCACGAGTAACGGAACTTGCCTGGTATATACCCAGGGCCATAACTACGGAACGGAACGGAGTTAGTGCGTCAAACTTGCGCAGGTTATGGACGATAGACAGAGGTACTAGAATACGGGTGAATTACGTAGTTCGCCGTAAAACCGCCGCTACTACAACAATACTACGTGCGTGATAAGGGTCGTTTTCTCAGAGCCTATCACCTATAATCCGAAAACCAATGGGACAGAATAAGTAGTGTATTTGAGGGGTTGAATTGCATGAAAGAAAAAGTTCTTGTAGAAATGAAAAGTGTCCTAGGTCTATTAGAGAAGTTCCTTTATTTCAGGAGTGTCCTTAGGTAGGAGTCCCACTTTATTGCTTGACCATGTCTCCTGTTTTTTCACAGATAAGTCATTTCAGATACGGATTGACAATGTTGAAAGATGCGGCGACATTTTGTACGTTGTTTATTGTTCTTTAACCCCCTTCTGGGTGCATACATTTAGTCGATGAAACAATGCATCGGAAGCCATACAAAGTTTCATAAGGCAACATGCACACCTGTGTCTTATTATGTCATGCTGTGTCTGTGTACGTGAAACATAAGCCATACATAAATACTCTAACCTTCATACGGCATCAGTCTGACAAGCTAGTCAGTCTGACAAGCTAGAACATGCACTGCCCTGCTGGACTTCACTTGTTTGATTTAAAGTGTGATTTTCTCACATTGTCTTTCAGGAGAAGGATTCCGAAGCTAAACTATCCTCAGTGGTGCTTCACGTCCAACAAATCCTGAGCAACAGCTGCAACTGCGATGCTCTGATCGGCGAAGCTGAATTCGACTGCCTCGCTCACGATGAGAATTTCGTCATTTTTCGCGGTGTCCTCTTTGCTCCCGCGACGACGACCTCAGCTTCTCTCTTCTCTCAACTGGAAGATTGGGTTGCTAGTGGACCACAGATAACTATTGCCAGCACTAACACTGTCAGTTCTAACTGCATGCCAGATGAAATGTATGGAGAGTCAACAGAATGCGTGGCGGCTTCTGTTACATCGACTGGAAATGGGCCACTTGTGACACAAGAACAGGGGGGAGATCACGGTGTGGGTGTGTTGGCTGGTGTTGCTGTCGGTTGTTTTGTAGTCGGAGTCCTCAGCTGCTGGGTTCTCCTTTTCACATTTCATCTTGTGAGAAGACGGTGAGAACATAGCTACATGTCTGTCGTGTGACATCTCAACAAAGCTTCTGTCATTGTTGCAAATTTTGTTGTATCAAAGCATATTATATGTAGCTAACTCCTCTGAACTGTTAGTGTTGACGATGCATGTTTCCCCCTTTCAAAATTTTCACGCATTATTGTAATTTACTTACGTGTGTATAATGGCATTTAAACAATACCGGTGTTTCTCTCATCATGCAGGCAGAGGAGGAAGCAAGGGGTGGTCCTTCGACAGCAAGCTCACGGACTCATGTCAAGCAGTAGCAATGGGTGCAGTGAGAACCCACGATACGTATCCACAGACCAACAAACTGCCAAGCCACTACCACCGCGAGAACTCCCTCTCCTACCTCTAATTGCTCCTGGCGACACGGTCACATTCACCAACCCGCTAATTGATAGGGGGGCCCCTGAGAAGATTACAACCGAGGCGTACGAAACGGTCCCCGAACCGGGAAAAGTACAGAACCCGATGTACGAGGTTTCGGGTGTGAACGGGAAGAGAGAGAGACGAGCGCAGCAGGAGGTCAATCCATCGCAGTACGAAGACATGCAGCTCGTCAACCTGTCTCAGTACGAAGACATGCAGCAAGTTAATCTGTCTCAGTACGAAGACGTTGAGCTGGTGAAGAAGGAAGTTGAGGCACGGAAGAAATGGGAGGAGGAGTACATTATGATGCAACCAACATGTCCTTCCAAACCAAATGGGTGTGTCCCTCCCTAATTGAGTCATTATCCATTGTAGTGTATATACCTGTGTGCTATATTTTGTGTGTTAGCATTTTACCTCAAAACAGTTTTGAAGTGCTAATGTCATGGACACTCACTTGGTGTGAATAAGCTGTGAGACACAAATGTGTAATATACAAGTATAAAACTGCCTTTATAATTATTGTCTAAACGTTTTCTTGTACATTTCATGCATGATAATGACCGATATACTGTTAATTGATTATGTTTTAATACAACATCATCTGCTAAACAAACTGATTCAGACTGCATTCAGGCACGGTTGAACTTTCTCAATGAAAGTCCCGGCTTCCTTTACACTGTAAATGACAAGGCTGTGAATTGTCGTTTTCCGAGACCACAACCCGAGTGGACCACTCACTGGTACAGTCACTCCCGGAGATTCAGGTTTCAGTTCAATAACAATATTCTCAAGTTTCGAATTCGTGATTGAATCGCCGAGATCTTCACCCTCTGGTTGTACGCTCAGCGTCGCAACACTCTTGATGTGTACTAGTGGGATCGAGAACTCAGACGTCCTTCGTAGGCAATAAAAGGCGTTGATATAGGGGCGCTGTGGGGGATTGGGGAGGTGGCAATGCAGCGTTTTGTTGGTCAGGAAAAGCCTCCATGGTGAGTCGAGAATGGACTGGAAAGGCAGGCAGGATCGTTTGGTGTCGAAACAAAAGAGAATGAGAAACAGTGAGAAGGGGAAGGAGAGGATGAAAAGAACGGCAGCCATTGCTACTATTAGGGCACTGATGCAGTTTAGTTTGTAGGCCGTAGCTTGAGATTTCTCCAGTGAAGTAAGGTCCAGCTCTGCTTCGTACAATATTTTTTCGTCGTCGTCATTTTTGCCAGCAGTATTGGTATCTCCGTTTTGTGGTCTCAAGGAGCCTGATTCTGAGTCCATTACTTGACTCCCAGTTGCTGATACCGATTCACTGCCTCTTCTACTGGCGTCTTCTGAAACTTGCTCAACAATCTGTTGTTGTTCTTCAGCCATTGCAGCACCTAAGCTCCTGCCTTACTGTAGCTATAAATCCGTCGATTTACTTTGTGTGTTGCAGTTGCAGTCTGTCAATGTCTTTTGTTGACAACAGCGGAATGGGGTTTTGCATGATTCTCGTCATTATAAGGTTCCCTGACAGGAACCAAGTCGGAGTTTGGTATGCGACTATGCGCGCGAGCGGCTTCCAAGCTCCGCGCATGCGTATAACTAACACGTGCGGGCCCCTCCCCAAAACACTTATCGATCAGTCGGCGGGGGTCGAGTGCGATCAAAAGGGAGCCTTCTGCAGCCGAAGAAAGGTAGGGTTTTGAGTGCGTTTATCGCTATGCTACTTTGGCACACCCATCTCTCCAGGGTCCAGTAACTGAGACGACCTCAAAATCGTTCAGTTTTTACTCCGAGTCGCGACTGCAGACAGCCCCCGCCGCCGCCGCCGCCGACCTCGCGTGTGCTTGGAGCCACCGATCAGCAGGACTAGTACGTACGTTGACGGCTTTTGCCATCCAGCAGTCAGTCATATTATACCGTATGATAAAGGCCCGTAGTCAGGAAGCTCAAAATGAGCCCTTTAGTATAGCCTACATTGAAACGGAATGCAAGTGGTGCATAGTTCAATGTAATTCACAGTGTGTGTGTGTGCATGACTCCGCTGAGAGTAATCATATGGGTATGTCCCTGTCTATTCACAGAACTCGCTACATATAAACTGAGGAGCAGCAGCCCCCATAGAGAGCTACAGCATGTCTGCAGACCTACCGGCTACCAATGACCTTCTTGCTGCAGCTTTCAGCTCGCTCTTCAAAACCCACGTCATCTCGCAGACGGAGTTCGATGCTCTGAAACAGCAAGACCCAGAGGTAGCCCGGAACGCACAGGCCCTAAGTCTCAGACACCTGTACGAACACACCTACAAGTGGGGATCGCTGGGTGGTGGGACTGCTTCTGTGGCTGTAGGAGGTGGGGAAGGAGGACCGGGTGAGAGAATCCAGGTGTTCGTAAAGACCCTCACGGGGAAAACGACCGAGGTTTTTATATCAACCAACGCAACGATATTTGCGCTCAAGCGGGAGATCGAGGACGAGTTGGAGTGGCCGGCTGAACAGCAGAGGCTCATTTTTGCAGACGAGCAGCTGGAAAACGACAAGATGGTGTCCGACTATTCCATCGCAAACCACTCAGTTCTCCATATAGTCCTCACCCTACGCACCGGTGGAGACTCTCTATACTACATAGACGGTTCTCTCCTTGCGCCGAGTTTCGACTACGACTTCACGAACCAGAGCGACGGGGACAAAACATTTTACCGCGGAAACTTCGTCTACACTCGCCCGTGTGGCTGGCAACGCAAGGCAATGAAAGTCATTGGTGAGTATGGAGACGATAAATGGCTCGGAGGAGGCGGGATTAGAACAAACACGACTCCCGGCGAGTGGCCGGTGTCCTATCACAGTGCAGCAACCTCTCCGCATGGTAACATCGCCGATGTTGGAAGCCGGGAAAGTCGCGGAAAGTTGTTTGGCTACGATCGCGGCATTTTCTCGACGCCGCTCGCCACCGTCGCAGCGAGGTTTGCTCCGACTTTCGAGTACCGCGGCCAAAAGTACCAGGTCATCTTCCAGAATAGGATTAACCCCGAGACTCTCCAGCAGGTTAACCCCTCGGCTCCTGAGGAGTTTTGGGCCTCTCCCAAGGAGGAGGATGTTCGCCCGTACAATATCTGCATCAAGAAAGTGTGACGTAGCTACTTGACTTCTGTGACACTTACCTGTCATTATTATAGCTTGTCGGTTTTCTTTTCTGATACTTTTTGTACGTATTCAACATGTAGCAGTCGGTGGACAGCATATATAATACCGTTATTCCGCTAGCTAGACTAGTGTAGAACGTTCGTGCTGGCTGAACCGCTTGCGGTCTCCGAGATTCATACGCTCGGGTATCGGCTAGTTAGTATACGTAGTATAGCTATACGAATCTGCTGAATCCCAGGACGTATAATTATACAGCTATATACTAGCTATACTGAAGCGCAGGCATTTACGACAACACTGAAAGTATTTTGGTAGCTAGTAGCTATCACAACCAGCCATATCTTAGGCGCGACAGATCATACGAACCCCGCTGACGACGACACTGAACGAATCGTAAAACTGAAGTTTATAGACCCTGGGAGGAGGGAGATGGCGAGTCTAGGTGGAGACGTCTTACCACCAACGACCAGCCTCGTGGCTGCAGCGTTCGGTTCACTGGTGAGCACTCCGGTGTACACGTCGCAGGAATACCAAGCCCTCGTCGCTAGAGACGAAGACGCGGCGGAGAGCGCCCAGAAACTAGACGTGGCTCTCATGTACGAGCACACGCTGGTCTGGGGCCAACTCGGAGACAAGAGAAAATCCAGTGGAGCCAGGTAATGCTATAGCTAGAGATATTGGTGCACGCAAAAAGTCTCGATCTATGTATGGAGATACAACCCCCCAGTGCCGTGGAGCATTGGGTTGAACTGCAAAAGCTGTTGGAGAATTGTGAACTTGTCAATTCTGGGAAAAGTTGTTTGTTACACCAGAGGAAGAAAGCATAGCAAGGGGGCATGAGTGGTAGTTATGCAGCCTAGGTATCTATACATAAGTATGGCTAGAGATGCTTGCTAGTATAGCCAAAATGTGAATGTCATTGATGAGTAGCATCAGGGGCACTATGAATAACGGATTCAACCAAATACGGTGGTATGCCGACTCAAACAAGCTGACACCCAAACTTTTCAACTGACAGCCAAACATTTCCTCAGCACCATTAAAGTGCATATTCTTTCACCAACACTTGAAGTCGATAATCCATGTGCTTCTCTAATCACAAGCCTGTTCATAAACCTCTTTTTCCTATAATATACCTTCTGCTCCGTATGCATCAAATAAATCCCTGCTACTTCATTCTCCCTATATATCTGTCTTTTTTCTCCGTCTTCATACAGGGGAGACGATGGTACAGTAACCCTCATAGCCAAGACCCTGTCTGGAAACACTCAGGAGGTAACAGTTCCTCGCGGGACCTCCTGTGCAGACCTCAAAAAGGAGGTGGAGAGCAAGACGGCCGTCCCCGTCCAGCGACAGAGACTAGTCTACGCTCAACAGCACCTGGAAACGACTCGCGATCTCGGAGATTACTCCATCGTGAATCACGCAACGCTCCACATCCTCATGCTTCTTCCCGACGGGAACCAGCCGTTCTACTACATGGACGACTCCCTCCTCGACCGGAACTACGACTACGACTTTAGGAAGGTGGTTGACGGGTCTAAAAAATTTTATCGCGGAGGGTACCTCTACACGCGTCCCTGCGGTTGGGATAGAAAGGCTTTGAAGGTTCTCGGGCGATACGGAGATAACGGTTGGCTGGGAGCTGGCGGGCTACGGACTGAATCCAGCAAGGGCGAATGGCCGGTGTCTTATCACGCTACGGCAAAGGGGAGAAACGGAAACATAGCTCAGGAGGGGCTCCTAGCGTCGCGCGGGAAAACGTTTTGCCTTCCAGCGCGGGATCTACACGACACCGTCGGCAGAAGTGGCGGCGAGATTTGCACCGACGTTTGAGTACGGCGAGAGCACCTATCAGGTGATATTTCAGAATCGGGTTAACCCTGGTAATCTGCAGATATTGCGTGGAGGAGGAGGGGAGGAGTTTTGGGTGTCTCCGCAACAGGAAGACGTGAGACCTTACAGCATCTGTCTCCGACAGAAAACATAGACATTTCACTTTCTACCACAACTCTATAATACTACATACAGTAGCTGTTGAGCCAAGTACTCGGTATTGCATACTTTATACAGTACCTATGTATGATGTGTACTGTCCGTATGATGTACAGTAGCTCTGTGTGAGTAAAATGATACACTTTTTTCCAGTTTCACTATCCAATACTTTAGTGTTAACATTCTCCAGTATTAATAATACTATAGCCACAATACTACCTACATACTGTTTAATTGAGTGAAAGTGTTAATGTGTGCACCATTTGTTTTTCGTCAATTTTTTTCTGTACTAGTTTTCATAAAAACATCTCGTTCTCTATGATACAATTTACATAATGTATGCACATACGTATTTTCTGTGCTAATGTGGAAGAAATTAAATTTTAGTACAAAGAGAGTCAGTTGAATTACACAGTAGTGAGATGTGTTCAGTGCTAAAAAGTATAGGTGCTGGTCATTATCAACCGCTCCTCATCTTTCTGTGAATGTATGTACACGTATGTATGTAAATCAGAGGTTTATTAATTGTAGTCATATATACGTACAGTAGTTGCCTCATGCTAACGTGCTCGGCAACTAGCAAAGTAGTGTTCGTGGAATAAGTTTATAAGACTAGAAGCCAACTCACACTTATCCATCGGATGAGTTTGTTACCGAAAATGATCGCCTGACTCTTGCTGATGAGTGGGTCCAGCACCATGTACAGATCAAACCCAGCCGTTCTCTGGACAAGTGCAATTTAACAGATAATTCTAGAACGAAAATTTGGCGGGCGACGTTGGACTACGTAGTCGTACGAACTGTGCGGTCTTTAGTGGCGTGTACTACTATAAAGGGTAAGTTGCTGAAGTGTTCCACTCATGTTCACTTGGTAAAATTACAGTTGAACCCTTATGTAAGGGAACCCCGGACACCTCTCAACCTTTCTCCCCCCAAGAACAGTTCTTGCATGTGATTCAACCCAATAAGGACACCTCACTAATATGAACACTTTAGGCGGGAGAGATGGGGGAGTAAGGAAGGGAGAGGAGTGGGGGCT